GCAATGGGTACATGATAATATTGCTGCATTTGGAGGAAACCCCAACAACATCACTCTATTCGGAGAATCAGCGGGTGCTGTTTCAGTGTCCCTGCATCTACTTTCTCCATTATCGAGAAACCTATTCTCACAAGCTATCATGGAGTCTGGAAGTGCGACAGCACCTTGGGCTATAATCTCGCGTGAGGAAAGTATTTTACGGGGATTAAGGCTAGCAGAAGCTGTGGGTTGTCCGCATGAACGTCATGAAGTTTCCGCTGTTATAGACTGTTTGAAAAAGAAAGATCCTATTGATTTAGTCAATAACGAATGGGGAACACTCGGTATATGTGAGTTTCCATTCGTCCCAGTTATTGATGGAGCCTTCCTAGACGAATCTCCAGCACGGGCTCTTGCAAATAAAAACTTCAAAAAAACTAATATCCTAATGGGTTCTAATACAGAAGAAGGCTACTATTTCATCATCTATTATTTGACCGAACTCTTCCGAAAAGAAGAGAACGTTTACGTCAACCGACAGGAATTCCTCCGGGCTGTAACTGAACTGAACCCTTACTTCAACGCGATTTCTCGCCAAGCAATCGTCTTCGAATACACCAACTGGTTAAACCCCGACGATCCAGTGAGCAACCGCGATTCCCTCGATAAAATGGTAGGCGACTACCATTTCACTTGCAACGTCAATGAATTCGCCCACCGATACGCCGAAACCGGCAATACGGTCTACATGTACTACTACAAGCATCGGACAGTAGCAAATCCATGGCCCTCATGGACCGGTGTGATGCACGCAGACGAAATCAACTACGTCTTCGGAGAACCACTTAACCCCACTAAAAGTTACACAGCACAAGAAGTCGATCTTAGCAAGAGAATCATGAGGTATTGGGCTAATTTTGCCAAAACGGGTAATCCGAGTCAGTCGCCGAACGGTGTTTGGACACCCACTTTTTGGCCTCCGCACACAGCTTTCGGAAGGGAGTTTCTCACCCTCGATGTCAACTCTACTGCCACAGGGAGGGGACCTAGACTTAAGCAGTGTGCCTTCTGGAAGAAATACCTACCTCAACTTCAACAGCAAACAAGTAAGTTGCTGTCAAGCAAATCCGAGGATTTGTCAGCGCGGATCGGAGTTTATGCAAATGCAATTTCAGTCAAGCGAGTAGCTTTTATTTCGTTGCGTAACGAGAAAGTTTCGGACACATTTCGGAAGGAATCCAATTAAGGCGATTGTGTTTAAAAAATCGACGCAAATAAACGTTATGTTTGCTCGTTTTATAACCAGGACCTGCTTCCTTACTACAAACTTGATCAATTCCGATTCTTTATCGCTTTTTGTTTTGGTTGTTTAATAAAGTTTGCGTTGTCGTTTCCCAGATCACAAGCTTAACTTTGAAATGAAACATTGTTATGCTTGCTATTCTATTCCAATTAAGCTCTGTAATTGAGGCAATCAACCTGTCACGTTATTTTCCGATAACAACAATAAGACATGTCGAGGTATCGAAATATACTCACAGAATCCGAAATTTGTTTCGGAGACTTTATTTATATTTAAGTGGGCACATTTGCGTCCTATAATACAATGACTGCGGCGAACCTTCCAACGACCACGGAGCACCCCGCGGGAATACCGAATGTCTTTTTTAAGACATGTGTCCAGAATATCCTCATTGCTATCATCTCGGCATGAACACGATCCTTCGACACCCACACCCAGATTCCTTTTTCACTTTTCTTCTTTTAATGAAAACAAAATGAGAGACTTTATTATCGACGCACTGATAATCACTCTTTAGATTAACACCGAAAAAACTCATCGTAAAAATTAAAAAATCGATACCGAGATAATTGATTGTGCAAATTTTTATTCCATCTTTAAAACTAAACTTTAAGTTATAATAAATCATTTTGTATTCTCAAACAACAAACACCTTGCAGCGTTCCTGTAGGTTTCACTTTCGTCGTTTATCTCTTGCACACTGCTCTTAAGATCCTTTTTTTCATTTTCAGTTTACCTCGCGAGAGTTTCCCAATTAGTGTTTACGTTGTCATACTGAATGCTTGAAGAAATCGATAAGTATTTTTTCGTGAATGTGCTGAAATTTGTTTTTTTCAGGCGAGCTTCTAAACCAACCGCCCCGGCAAAACTGTACCGACGCGGCAAGTTCGTTACAGTGGTCAAGAGATAGCGCTGCCGGTTTCCTGATGGTCTCGACAGTGGCGGCGTTCCTCGCAGGACCTTTCTAATTTAAAAAAAGTCCATTTAGGAGTACCCTTGAAGCGCATTATAAACCAGCGCCTTGAAACATATCTCTAGTTTTGTGTGTGAGGTATTCAAAATCAACACATCAAAAAAGAAAAATGGGATCGATTTATAGATTTTCGCTTTTATTGCTACGTAGAGTCAATCAATGCTGCAGCAGACTCGCTTGTGACGTAACAAAATTCATGTTCACCCGGCCTATACAGGTGGCTGCAATGCGATCGGAATTGTCGAATCGCTGAAAGACGAAAACGAGGAAAAGAAAATTTTCAGTTTTTTTCTTTTATATCGGTGGTTGTGCTGACGAGAAGGCGCTGCCAGCGACCATTCGCACTAAATTTTTATACTACTTGTATATGATACGGACCAGTGTTACGAGGTTGCAGAGATTGCTTCTTAGCAGCTTAATGTTAGGGCCTATAACTGTTAGTACTTAGCCACTATCACTTAGTTCTAGGGCTGTGCATACATATGAAACGAATTTTCGTGTCTCCCGGATCTGTCGCTCACCCAGCAAAGATGGAAAACACAGGGACGAAGACCCTGACACAAATGCCAACCTAATAACAACAAATACTCTGCTACACTATGTCTTTGCTGCCTTATTCATGAAATAGTTGACAAATAAAACTATTGGATCTCTCTATCCTAGTCTAGTAGATAGTACTCTAGTGCCTCCGCGATAGTAGTATTAGCGTTCTGAGTGATTTTTATCGATTTAAAAAACATTCTCATGTCACACGATCACTCAGTCGCCTTTTTTCTTATGCTCGCCCTGCATTTACTACTCAAACATATCCAGATTATGGTGCAAAACAATACTATCTAAAATAACCTAAATAAAAACTTAGAAGATACTCTCAAAAAAACTGTATATAATTAAAGACAACTCATGTTTAGCTGAATTGAATGTTAGTACCAGGACGCGGACGCCATGTTACCATCCCCACCTCACCAAACCTGTGAATACCCCAATCAGTATTACCGACTCTCCCGCTATACGTGCCACTAGACGTTCCGACTGAAATTTCTTTCATACAATTATTTTTCTTATTAGAACGAAACATAGCGTCCGCAGTCACTTTGTAGATAGGTGTTAGTTAAGTTATTGGCATCGATAGGTAAGAAGTGGCAATGCTTCTGAATTAATTAAAGTCAAACTAATAATTGTTATCACCGAAAGCAGATGGCGTCGCGGAAAGATGAAAAACAAGATAACGCACGTTTTTCGTATTCCCGTTTCACCTTCTGTGAAACGACCAGTAATATTGTAAATTTTGTAACGTTGTCGTAGATTTTCATAAAATTGCACTGGGTGTGGCTATAGATAATAATCGTTATAATTTTTTAAGATAAAAATTCAAATTTGAGAAAAAAAATTGGTTTCTTCGACACGATGTACTAGGATCGCTTACTATGTAACAAATGACAAAGTGTTAATTGCAGTTTGATGTGAGCATTCACGACAAAATGTATGATGTTATTTTATTATTACGAGTAAAAAAAAGTTTTATAAAACTCTGACTGGCAAAAACATTTCAAAAAGAAATTATATAAAACAATGTCTCGAAGAATAAGTATTAGGTGTTCCAAAAAATAATAATAATGAACATATCATTATAGGCTAGTCGAATAGAATAAATTACATATCCATGCTTTATGATATTCAGTACAGTTCGTAGGCTACTTTGATTGCTTAGAAACGATAAAATCTTTGTGATATATATTATTTGTATGAGTTGTAACCGAACCGTTGAGTACCTAACTGAACCAATATGTACCTTTTGCATTGTGATGGACCTGCAACTTTACTCTTCCAAAATATATCGTTTCTAAGTATTTGAAAATCGTTCAAAATGGCTTGTCAGATTCTTCCAGTTTCAATCTAAGGGCTACCTTTGAATAATAGTTAAGAAGAAAAAGGAAATTAACTAAGTAAATATACTTTAAAAGCCTAATAGAACAGCGAAATTAATAAAAAAAGATTGTCCAAAGCAATTTATTCTTCTTATGAATTTATTTTGTAAAACAATTTAAAACTTAGTTAATGTGATAAGAATATAAAAAATATTTAAATGGTATTCTACAGTGATTGTTTTGTTTTATTAGATTTAGATTTTTCTAGTGTCAATTGTTTCATTATATCGAACAGTTCCGTTAGTTGATGCATCTATATCTATTTATGCTACTATAGATGGCCTTTAGTCAACAGTAAAATATGCTTATTATTTAAAAATATATTGTAAAATATGATTATAAATATATTATATTATTGATTATATAGGATTGTTGTAGGCCATTGGCTGTATAATTATTATTGATGATTGATTGAATTAAAATAAATGAATGCTTGTACAGATATTTGACTTTTATTTCTCTCTAAAAAGTGCAAGTCACATTATGCCACTAGTCATCATCTCAAGAAACCTCTATCGCATGACATTGAATTAATGCGAAAAAAACTTTATCAATTTTTTTGCGCCACAATGTTGCATATTCGTCTGAACATCCTACGATAAGAAGAAGTTTATTAAAAATATTTTTTTCTGATAATGTTCACGGCCAGTTTTAATTACAAATTATATAACAAAATTCGAAACACAAACCACACAAAACCAAAGTTATCTAAGTAATGACAAACGAGAAAAAAATTGTGTAACGCCTCCACCGACCAATCGGATCAATCCTATTCGCGTGCCGATTTAATACCTACCGTCCCACTCCATTCCTTGAACTAACCTCACTTAGAGATGAAACGTCGATAAGTGATGTTGATGTGTTTTGTTACTTAAATCTTACTTAATGAATATGACTTAAACCGGGCGGCCTTAATTGATTTGTTCTCGTGCCTTTGATCGTACTTAAGCAATGGATTCGAGTAAAAAATACGACCGTCCATCTCCCGAAGAGACAGCGAATCCTCTTTCGAAACTATTCTTTGCGTAAGTCTTAAATTATATTAGACTTGCTTTGATTTGGGTTTTGCTTAAACCAACTGTACTAAGCTTTGTCATAAAGATAATGAAGCGCTTTTTTAATCTTGTCATTGTATAATCAATAGGAACGGTACAATAGTAAACATGACAATGTATTGGTATCCTACAATCGATAACTTCTAGGCTATACACATTTATTTCAACTTCATCATCTAACTAATAAGCATCTAACAGCAAAGGTTAACGGGAAAATTAAAGCAGCAAGGACGCCGCTATTTAAAGATTTTAAATTGTATACGACAATATTTTAATTAAGTCCGTGTTTTAACATGCGTACAGTTGTATTCAATTGTTCACATGTATAAATCACCGGGGGACACTCGACATGTGTCTTCCAATAATTGTCCTCCACACTCATTAAACATTTCTCACGATTGAATGACATTCCAAAATTTTAATATCATTTGCATTTCACTATCATCGCTAATAAAGCCATAGCTAATTAAGCTCTAGGTAGGATAAGCAGTCACTAACTACCCTAGATGACACATGAAGCCTTATCTATCCAATTTTTACCGTATCGAGCTCGAGTACTTTTTATCGCAACTATACATTGTCATAACATGAACATAAAATAATTAACCTTGGTCAATATCAAAATGCATTTCAGGGAAAAATGCATTTTTATTTACCAAGATAATCCATTATTTGCAGTTGGACGTTGCCGTTTTTCAAATACGGCTACTCGAATGATTTGCAAATCAAAGATTTATACAATTGTGCTAAATATGACCTTTCTGGCAAACTCGGGGATGAAATGGAACGGTAATTCCTGGACGCAAATTTATTGAATAATAATTTTGAAATTTTAGAAATTGGCTTCTTGAAGTCAAGTCCTCATTGAAAAACAATAAAAAGCCCAGCCTACTTCGTACACTACGTCAGACTTTCATAAAATCATACTCACTCACCGGAATCATTCTTTGTTTGCAATGTACAGTATTGAAAATGTTTCAGCCTATAGTATTAGCAGAGTATATTAGTTATTATGAGGTTAATTACAAAGACCGGTCGTCCGGTATGGGATGGGGCCTTGCCACTGGTGTTATCCTAATGGCGTTTGTCAACATCATGATTATCCATCACTGTAATTTGTATTCGCAAAGAATCGGAATGCGGAGTCGGATAGCCACATGTTCACTCATTTACAGAAAAGTAAGCTTAGTCTAACTCACTTTAATCAGAATTTTAAACAAACAGCTGTAGTTACTCAGACTGAACCGGACCTCATTGGGCCAAGTAGCCGTCGGAAAGTTAGTAAATTTACTATCAAATGACGTACAAAGATTCGACATTACTGCTACTTTCCTCCATTACATTTGGATAATGCCTATACAAACAATTATAGCTTTTTACGTAATGTACCGAAGTGTCGGTATTGCCGCCTTATCTGGTCTAGGGGCTATAACCCTTCAAGCTGTCTTCTTGCAAGGCTACTTAAGCCGACTTCAAGGGATTTACAGAATGCAAATAGCACAAAAAACCGACAATCGAGTCAAACTCATGAACGAGATAACAGCCGGTATTCAAGTAATCAAATTGTACGCTTGGGAAAAACCGTTCGAGAAAGTCGTAGCCTTAGCCAGAAAATACGAAATCAACATCGTATCTAAAACTTCATATATTCGAGGTTTTTCAATAGCGTTGATGGTTTTTACAGAACGCACAGCTTCGTACTTAACTCTCATCACTTTCGTACTTATGGGCAATAAATTGACAGCAGACGTGGTTTTTTCCGTTGCCCAACTTTTTAATACTGTTCAACTTTACATGTGTATATTATATCCTCTGGGAGTTTCGACTTTCGCCGAAGCCAAAACTTCAGTCAAGAGAATTGAAGAGTTTTTACTCCTCGAAGAAAATGAAACCACGAACGACTTATCGGTACCACAATTCCAAAAAACTGGTACTATCAGACTCGATAAGGTTAATGCTAGTTGGACTCCTAACCCCATTGTCCACACTCTCATGGATTTGAATATCGAARTCAATCCCGGGACRTTATGCTGCGTTGTAGGGTCGGTGGGTGCAGGCAAAAGCTCATTTTTGCAACTTCTACTAAAGGAATTACCGCCGAACTCAGGTCGGGTTAGTCTCACTGGAAGTATATCCTATGCATCACAAGAGCCTTGGCTTTTCGTGTCCTCAGTCCGTAATAATATTCTTTTCGGACAGCAATACGTAAAAAATCGCTACAAAGACGTGGTCAAAGTTTGTGCATTAGAAACCGATTTTGAGCAATTTCCACATGGCGACAAGACTCTAGTGGGTGAAAGAGGAACCTCTCTTAGTGGAGGTCAAAAAGCGAGAGTTAATTTGGCCAGAGCTGTGTACAGAGACGCTGATATATATCTCTTCGATGACCCTCTCTCTGCCGTGGATGCCCATGTCGGCAAACACTTATTTAACGAATGTATTGTGAAGTATTTGAAAAACAAAACTAGAGTTTTGGTAACGCACCAATTGCAATTTTTGCGACAAGCTGACCTCATCATAGTTTTAAACAACGTAAGTTGCTCAATCACCTGTCGGATTATTGTTGAGTGGCTGACTTTAGGGTCAAGTTGATAAAATCGGGACTTTCGCCGAACTCTCCGAAAATGAACTTAACAATCTAAAATTGGAACAACCTGAAGAAGTTGCTACTAAAGAACAAGAGGTGGAACAAAGACAGAGGCTTATGTCGATTGCGTCACACAATGTAAATATTTGTGTTTTTTATACTGACACTACATGATTGTTTCAGAGTACAGTTCCTGATGATGATGATGATGAAGTTGAAGCACAGGAGACGGAGGAGTTGATGGAGAAAGGCGCAATTCCAACTTCCACTTATTTGGATTATTACAGATCGGGTGGAAGTTTCGCAGTTTTGTTGTTTTTAGTGGTTTTATTGATTATTGCACAGGCTAGTTGTAACGCTTCCGACCTTTGGTTAACTTCTTGGTACGTTAAACAACACATTACATTTTCTTTATTTAATACCGAATTTTAGGACAAATATGGAGCAAGATCGTTCAAAAACAGTCCAAGTAGAGACCGGCGATTCAAACACCACAGAATTGCCATTTTCTAGTATTAATGAGACAAACACAGAAGTGCCAAATGAACTAAACACAACAGAAATCATTTTTACAACGCTACCACCATTATTTAATTTGACAGATCCGAACCAAACACTTTCCCAAGCTTCCTACATCTGGATCTACTCGATCCTTATCATCTTCTCTATTATCCTGACAACAAGTCGTTCACTACTTTTCTTTAAAATCTGCATGAACGCATCAAAACGTCTTCATAATCTTATGTTCAGTAATATTCTCCAGGCCCCGATGCGATTTTTCGATACCAACCCTTCGGGTCGTATCTTAAATCGATTTTCTAAAGATATGGGTGCTATGGATGAACTCTTACCACGTGCTACTATTGAAGCAATTCAAATTTTTTTGGTCATGGCAGGGATTCTATTCATGGTTTTTGTTGTAACTCCTTGGATGATTGCTGTGTCTGTTGTTCTGGGTGCCCTATTTTACTGGTTCCGTGTTATCTATTTAGCGACAGCTCAAGATGTTAAGAGACTGGAAGGAATAAGTAAGTCGTGTTGTTACTCAGTATTTTTTATAATAAATTATTACAGCAAGAGCTCCGGTTTTCTCTCATGTATCTGCTTCTTTGTACGGTCTTCCGACAATAAGAGCAGCAAGTGCACAAAGTATGATAATAAATGAGTTTGATGTGTTGCAAGACCAGCATACGGGAAGTTGGTTTATGTTTATTGCTTCCAGTGAATCATTTGGCCTTTATCTCGATATAATCAGTACAGTATTTTTGACAATAGTGACATACCAATTTCTTCTTTTTGACGATGGTAACAATCAATTTGTAACTTCCAAAARTGACTTAGAGWATTTTAGGGACAACCAAAAGCGGAAATGTGGGTTTGGTGATTTCTCAGAGCCTGATTCTAACTGGCATGTTACAATATGGAGTCCGACAAACAGCAGAAGTTGCTAGTAACATGACTAGCGTTGAACGTATTTTGCAATATACAAAATTGGATAAAGAAGGTCCTTTTGAATCATTACCTACCAAAAAACCAAGCCGGGATTGGCCTCAACATGGCCGAATCACTTTCAAAAATGTGTACCTCCGGTATATCCCCGACGATCCCCCGGTTTTGAAAAATCTCAGTTTCGAAATACAACCAGGGGAAAAGGTGTACCTCGTTCAATTCCTACCTTAATTTTCATTACATTTTGACTTCTAGATCGGTATTGTGGGTCGAACAGGTGCTGGAAAATCATCGTTAATATCCGCTCTTTTCCGTCTTACTAAAATCGAAGGTGCTATAGAAATAGATGGTGTCAACACTCAATTCATCGGTTTGAATGATCTAAGATCCAATATTTCGATCATACCTCAAGAACCAGTTCTTTTCTCAAATACGGTACGATACAACCTTGATCCATTTGAAAGATGTGATGATAAGACGTTATGGAAAGCTTTAGAAAACGTGAGTTTAGGGAAACCAACAATCGTGCATGTAGTCAGTTTTTTTTTTTTCAGGTTGAACTCAAAAATGCCATAGACAGCTTAGACCAAAGAGTGAGCGAAGGAGGTTCGAATTTTAGTGCCGGTCAACGCCAACTTGTTTGTCTTGCCAGAGCTATAGTTAGAAATAATAAAGTGTTAGTTTTGGATGAAGCAACCGCTAATGTTGATCCAGCCACTGATGCCTTGATCCAAACCAGTATACGTAAAAATTTCAAGGAGTGTACAGTTCTAACTATAGCTCATCGACTAAATACTATAATGGATTCAGATAAAGTATTGGTGATGGATGCAGGGGAAGCGGTCGAGTTTGACCACCCCCACCGGCTTTTAGAAAACCAGGAAGGTCGTTTTAGTCAAATGCTTCGAGAAACGGGGAAAAATTTAGAAAGCCAACTGCGAGAAGTTGCAAAAAATGACTACAATAATAAATTTGGACCAAAATCTGCCAGTGATGAACAAAACGATAATACAGAAAAATGAGATTTATTTTTTTTAATGTTTAACAAAAATTGAAACGCTTTAAACTACGTAAACAATTTTAAATGTTTAAAAAATAATTGAAACGCTTTAAACTACTTAAACAATATTACGTAATATATTAATTTTCTAACTGTATTTATTTTGAGTTGTTTTGTTGATTTTACGAAATATAGTACATATTATATTTTATATCAATTGGACATCTCCTTTTTTTACCAAATCAGCCACGCTGTTATATGATAGTATCATCTGTGAACCTACAGCTAAATCAACAACTTCATCATTGTCACGGTTTGAATCTATAACAACGCCTTCTACGGCATTTTTAGCTCTCAAAAACACAAAACTGTCCATATTTGGCACAACTAAGGAACTTTTCCAATCTTCAAATGGCAAACCCTGGTAAAAATTAGTTGCAGTTTCGAAATGCTGTTGTAAAGCTATAAAAAGTAAAAATAAATAAGAGGGAACCAAAAAATTAAAAAATATGTATAAAGAAAAACAAATTACAAAACCTTGTTTGTATCTAATCGCAAATTGTTGCTCGGCTTCTGTTAAATACAGCTCATCCTCTCTTTCGCCCCTTCGTTCCTCTTCTTTTAAAATATGCAAAACATAAGTTTCGATTTTTTCTAATCTGACACGAAGGTAACTCGCTACCAAGAAACGAATCCTATCGACTTCCAATTGATGAATTCCTTTTTTGAAATCGATGGATGGTAAAGTCTCTAGATTTTTTTCCATGTATGATATTTGGCCCAGCACGCAGTCTACAACTTCTTGTTTGTGGGGGAGGATCTCAGGGGCGAATTTCTCATTAACCCACACTTCCTCCATCATTTCGATTAACTCAGCAGAAGTTAATTGCACATTTGCATCGTCGTCATCTTCAATTGTGTCTTCAAAATCTTCCAATTCTAAATTCATTGCAAATTAACACGAAAAAAGAACAACGACCACTAACTAATCTTTGGAATCCCGATGACAATCAGCTGAAGCGCGGGAAAAGATACTCAATTACCAACAGAGACTCTGTTACCAACCTTGAAACGCCCAAACCACTGATCCAAACTCTCTCTAGTGTAAAGTGTTATTGGTTGCCTAGCCAAGCAACAAAAAATGTATTTTTCATTATTTCTCTATAATTCAAAAATTTATCGACTATTCTTAGTTTTATGGTCAAAAGTATGTCCTTGAAGCAAATTCAAACAATGTAGGCCATCGCCATTTGTTCAAATGTCAAATTTAATTGTTAACTTTTAGCGCTTTTAATGAGTATATTTTTTAATGAGCGTGAAACTACATCTATACTCCCATCAATTGCATAAAAAATCACAAAACAAATTGTTCCGGTCGATTGTATGTAAATTACGAATAAACAGATATTACCATTCACGTATCTAATAAATTTTAAAGATATAGACTTTCTCAGGCGCCTTGCACAATCTTGGCGATGTTTGTGAAGAACTTCTCGAACATTTTTTCCGCAAAAACTTGTTAATGAAAATTAAGTAGGTGAATAGACGAACTGGTTACTTTGCAAATCTTCAATTAAACTGCTGAAGCGTAACGTTTGTACGTCTTTTAAATATTGATGATATTTAAATTAGATAAATTACAGAAATTTCGTCACTTTATGTAAGAAATGCGTACACATTCTAGATAATTGTGCCAATAATTTTTAGAATGAGGAAGTTTTTATATTAAATAACAAATTTTCCGTAGCAGTTTTCTTCATTCCGATTTTCATAAAATCTTTCATTTCATTAGTTTTATCTTAGGTACATTTAGAATAAATAAGTTATTACGTGTCTGGTAGCCATCTGTTTGTTGTCATCCTACATGAGATTCATCTTATAATCATAACACTTGAAAGTGAACGGTGTTAAGATTATTGTCTGGAACATTGAACAAATATTTACTTAGATCGATCAATAAAAGATCCACTTAAGGTAAGTCAACAATTGCTCGCAGCAGGGAACCCTATAATGCAATAAGATAATTGATCGTACTTAACACTGACTTATGTAACAATTGTAATTCTTTCAATCTGTACCACGATCTTCTCATTTTTATTACATTTCCTGAAGCAATTTGTCGATTTTGTAATTTATATGTCCAAAGAAGCAATGACAAAACTTGCAGAAGCCATAGAAAGAAGTAAATTGATGACCTCATGAACCATCATCAGTCGATGAACTTTTTTTTTTCGACAAACTCTCACTATCCATTGCTTCACCCTCGATACTTCAGTTTAACAGTTTCTTCAATAATAATAATTAAATTTTTCCTTTCATAATTGATGGATTATTATCGAACGTTTGCTAATAGATCAATTTCGAAATTGCTAATTTGCGACGTCTCTTGTTGCCTTTTTTGATAAATAGATCCAAAATTTTGTTTTCTTTCAAATTTCTTCACTCTTGCATCACGTACCATAGATGGAATTTTAAAGTAATAATTTCATCACATTTGTACAGATATTTAAAAAAGTGAGTGCCCATCAGGTAGGTACACCTCGACGTCGCCAAACAAACATAATTCACCAAGGGGAAAGAGAAAGAAAGTTATCAACAATAAGGTAGGGATGAGATATCTTCTTCTTCGATTCTGACGTGGGGGAGTCATCTAAAAGAAACTTGCTTTGATGGTGGAACACCAGTTCTGTGTTCTTCATCACATGTGGTGTTGGTGCCGGTACTCAACGGTGTTGTCAAGATGAAGAACTACTTCACATGTTATGTTCTCCTGGTTCTGTGCACAAGAGCAGCGTTTGCGCAGTTTATTGGACAACAACAATCAGTAAGTACTATCAATTTTTAATTTAATCCCAATCATATAAGCCACCTCATTAATATTGAACAATAGATCATAAGATAGTCAAGAAACTGGGTGGCTTCATTAATATTCTTTTCTTTTCTCTTGGTACAATAAAATTAGACACATAAAACCAAAAATGGATTTTGGTTTCCAACTTTCTCCAATAAAATTTAACCGTGACTTTTGACACAAATCATCTTCACTTATTTGATTGTGATAAAAGAACAAATTTTAAAGATTCAAACAATGCGAAACTTTCAATTGACGAAAGTGACAACCGATGTTTACCCTTTAGTTTCTCCAAAGCGAAAAATGTAAACAAGTGTATTCAACAAAATTTTCCTGATTTTCCATTTGTTGGAGCTTTCTACGCCAAAGTTGTACTTTCTTACAAGTTTATCGTTTTAAAAGAACTTGTAGAATCGTAGAAGAACCAAATGTCAACGGATGTTTATTACGATTCGGAAGATTCGACCTTTGGAGAAAGTCTTCCGATCGAAACTCTAGGTCAAGAGCAAGTCCGTATTATACTCTACTGGACACCTACATAGCTGACCTTAACATTTTCATATCAGAGCCTAAAAATATAAAATCCTTACTTTCGCCAAAAAATCTCATTATCATTTTTCTAATGTTTATTGCCTGGAGAAAGACTCTTCCATAATTATCTCGTTATTTAAATCACCGATGTATGGAAACGCTAACGAAAGTTGCATTCTCATACACTCTCATCCTAATTCAGATCGTGTCTTTGAGCGTATTATATCACTTAAAGTAAGTACACCGAAAAGTTTGCAATTGTTACAAAAACTCTTCCTCATCTCGATATGACTCGAGGCATTTGACAAAAAAGAAGAAAATTATTTTGCAACGAGATACATTTGATTTACGTAACGAGCAATTTGAAATATTTTAAGTGTGCTCATAACAATAAAATTTAATTAGAATGATACGTACAATAAGAAAAATTCTGTTATTAGAATAGTTACGTAAAGATGTTTTCTGGACCATGCGGTCACTCCTTTTACGTAACCCTTAGCATTTGGAATTTTTATCCATCATTAACGCTCACTTCTCATAAGCTTCCATAGATGCTACTAAGACTTTCACTAGCCGCGGGTATTTTACTCCGATCGCTAGTTATCTAGGCAAAAAAAATTATAAATGACCTGCTCTAGAATTGATACTTTATATGCCTTGATGAACGTTTTTAATCCCACATGTTTCACTATCCATCAGAGACTTAATCATCGGTCGATAATAATTTTTGATGCGCGTGTAATTTAATCGGTTTTTTAAGCCGGAAAACTTTCTATTGTGGGTATATCCATAATCCGGATGTCTGAATTCAACGTCAGTTTCCCTTTCTTCGATCTTTTCCCATGAAGTAACTGAATTCTCACACGAAGACAAGCTTGTTGATGTAACGTTTAATATTGCACAATTAGATCCGTTATATGTCCAAAAAATCAATATGACAAAAAACCTTTCACTCCATTTCTTGCACGTACGATCATAGCCCATAAACTTCAACCACAAGGTTCAAAATTTCAGTTTCCTAATAATTACCTTTAAACTTTACGAGTTTTTTACCTTTTACTAGTTATATAACTTCTAAATCCACATTTATCTATAATTAAAACGAATTTCCTCCTTACAGCAATTTCCAAACATTGATCAAAGAAACCAGCTGTCACCGACACAACAAGGTCACATACTGAGTGATATTCAACAACATCAACACAGATTTAATGTGTTTCCTCAAACGCAACATTTTCCTCCTCAACAGTTCGGTACACCTCAACCAGCTGTACAACCACCGGTGTTTAACCAACAACCAGTTTTTGGTCAACCAACTCAATTCCCAGTTTTATTGAACCAGAATCAACAACTCTTGCAAAATCCAGTTTTGGTTCAACCTCAATTCCAAGCGGCCTTACCAACACCGACAGTACAACAACCAGTTCCCATTGTATCAACAATACAATCAATAGTACCAACGTTACAACCTGAAGATAATACTAGAATTATTCAACATCACACACAAACCAGTTTTACTCCTAATTTTTCGCAACAACAGCAGCAACAACCACAACAATCGCAGCAGCAACAACAACAAGCATCACAACCACAGCAACAATCTCAAGAAACAATTATACGAAGTCCAACAACAAACAATATACCACAAAACCAGTATAATGCTTTTACCCCGAGACCCACAGTTGACCCAATCGTAGCAATAGAACAACAAATTCGTCAGTTAGATCCTGAAAAACACAAGCAAAGAATAAAAGAATTAAGAGAAAAGCAGAGCATTATCGAGAAACACAATCAATTCGTGGAAAAACAGTACGAAAAAGCTTTGAAGAAGGCACAAAGCGATCATCAACAATGGATAGACGAACAAAAAGAAATCAAAAAGAAACTTTACCAAAGTGTATATAAACCTCCGGGTAATGCACAGGTGGTCAGATATACTCAATCAATTCCTCGATATATTTACCCTGAAGAAGGCCCACTTTTTAAGTTGGCCGTGGAACAGTACTACAAAGAACATCCCACGACTACGACGACCACAACAACTACTACAACAACAGAAGCTCCAACAACTACTTCGAAAAAATTTCTTGCAACTAAAAAATCCGGTAGCTCGTTTCTACCAACTGTAGTCCCAACGTCTGAAACAAAAATCAAAACAATCCAAACTCTAGAAGACTTAAATCTTCTTCAAAAACAGTACAAATCGCAACAAATTGCCAAAGACGACTTGTTGGCCCAGCTTCGTTTAGCTATAGGAAACAGTCCGGAAGATGAAATCACCAAAAATCTTTCTTCGAGAGAAATTTCACTCGCAAACGGCAAAAAGGTTCAACTGATTGAAGCAACTGATCCAAAATTGATTCCGAATGGAAAAGCGGAAGAAATCACTTTACCCAACGGTGAAAAAGTCCAAGTGTTCCAAGCTAATAATCCTTCTCCAAAATCGGAAGAAATAACTTTACCGAACGGCCAAAAAGTCCAAGTAATCAAAACTAGAGATCCAAAACTACTAGCAAGTGCCTCATCCTCATCTACTGTTAAAACACAAGAAATCACTTTGCCTAATGGACAGAAAGTCGAAGTAATCAAAACCACAGATCCTAAACTAGTACCAGGAGCAACTCCTCTAGAACCAGGAAGCGACTTAGAAAAACTAGTCTTGGCTCAAACTACCACAACCAAACCACCGAAAGCAGTTTTCGACGAATTAACAAAAGGAGTTCTACCCCCTGGTGCAAACTTTGAACTTTTAAAAACCGGTGCCAGTGGCGGTTTAGAACAAGTCGGTGGGTTACCCAACCAGAAAAAAGTTACTTTTGTACTTTTGGAAGAACAAGAAGATGGTACCCTCAAAGTGCAAGGAGTCAAAGGAAGCGGAAAAGACAAACCGGATGTCGATGTCGATTCAATTTTGAAACGAATCAAAAACGGCGAAATCAAACTACCTCAGAACGCCAAACCTACCCCAACCACAGAAACTAAATTCCAGTCAACGACTCCAAAAAAAAACCTAGTTACAGGTGTAACAGTGGTACCAAATTCCTTCGCAAATGGCGAAGAGGTCTCCAGTGTGCCAATTTTAAAAACCAACATTGGAACACACTTTGTGGCCACTTCAACACCTTCGAGTACTATTTATACAAAAATTTTCCCTAGCAGTACTACGAAAAGTACGACCACACCAAGTCCCACACATAAAGTGACCCGAAATCCCCATATTTTGAACCAAGGAAGTGATTTAGTGAGACAGGCCTCAACCACATCGTCAGGAAATCGCAACAGTATATATCACACCACCGCCAAGCCTACTAGTCCGAGTTATTCTTCCTCTTCAGTAAAAATCTTTCAAAGTGTTTCTCCTACAGTTCCAACAACACCTTTCTACCCCGTACCCACCGAAGAAAAACTTCCACAATTAGAACTACCGGAAGTACTCAAAAAGAACGGCTTGTACGCTATGGCTAAATTTTTACGACAGTCAGGTCTAGACACCATTTTGAATGAAACTGGGCCTTACACAATCTTCGTCCCCACCGACAAAGCTTTCAGAACTCTTTTAGTCCAATTGGGAGGACCCGAAAAAGCCGAAGAAAAATTCAAGGATAATCCACGGCTCCTCAGCGGGGTACTTTCACCAATTTTTTTTTCTTTAATAAAAAATTGTTTACAGCTACTTTTACACCACGTGATCCCCGGTGCCTTTACCATAGGCTCTCTTCAAGACGAAATGACAGGTGTTTCTTTGGCCGGTACTCAATTAAGGGTCAACCAGTACAACATGCACGACGTCGAGTGGAACGACGTTAAGGTGAATTAATTTTCATCAATTAAGTGAAAAAACAAACATTCACCGCTCTACTTGGCCCACATAATTCGCTTGTTTACGAGTTCAAGTTCAGGATTTTAATTAATTTTAATTTCTAATTACATGTTTAACACAGGCGTCTTTTTTTGGCAGGTTACGACAATTAACGGTGCCAAAGTACTAGATGAGAAGCAAGACATCGAAATACCGCAAGGTGTAGCACATGCCRTTGACAGAGTCATGTTCCCGTTGCCCGTAGGTGATATTGTCCAAACACTCCAATCGGATCGCGAAAGGAGATTCACTAGTTTCCTGCGGGCGCTGTTTTCTTCCGGACTTGCCGAAACGTTGCAAGGTAAAATATTAATTTGTTTTGAACAATGAATAGATTGTCATACGATAAGTGCTTTATACTCTAATTATAAAAGACTGGCACTTTCTTCGAATTTTCTCGATTGGATTCAGAACGGGTCGATGTGAGTCCTAATACATATCTTCTAGTAAAACTGTATCACTTTTAATTGGAAAGTGAGCTTAATCGAGGACATGCTATTAAAGGCATTGAAAGTATAAGAAAAATCTGTTGAGTATTCGCAATTCGACCTTGGTGTTCAATCTTTTCCTGATCCAATTGCTTGACGAAATTTCTCGTGAAGTAACGCTAATCGAGTCAAACACGCCACCATTTTCAATAAGCATGAAAAAATTGCATTATAATTTTTAAAACAATAGTCACGATCCCATTCCAGTTTCTCAATACTCTTGGTCGCAATTAAACGATGTCTCGCAACTTGGAATGAAGAAACCGCCAATTAATCTCACTGTCATTTTTCCACACAGGCACGAAAACCTTCACGTTGTTCGCTCCGACCGACAAAGCTTTCGCCAGTTTGTCCAGCGAAGACCTCACCAAGATCATAGCGGATAGAACCTTAGCTAGAGAGTTGATCTTTAGGCACTTAATCCCTGGTACTTTGTACACCAACGGAATGAGGTACTACCAGATCAAGGATAGTCTTTTAACCGACCGCCAGCTCACCATTAGCAAGCAATCAGGTAATGGAAAAAAATGTAACGATATAAATAGATAAGACAGGTCTTTATTGGGTCGAAAATGAAAGGCTCAATTTTTTCCAAACAATCGGTGAAAGGATGGGGTATTAATACACTTTCCTTCTTCATCTCACTCGATTTTGAACACTAACCTACTTAGTGACAATGAGACAAGGAAGAATTCAAAAAATCCACACTCAAAATCCAATTATTTAAATTGATTGAAGCGCTATAACACTTGCTCTAATCACATGAAAGTATGAGAAAGTTGGTTAAAGTTCAAAGTCAACGGTTTAAGATGAAGATGATGTGCGGCGGAAGAAAGTGAAACGACGCCTCCGGATAAACATCATGTGTGTCGAAAAGGAAGTGCCAAAACATATAATGCACATGGTTTCGGGAAAATGCCAAACTTTCACGCACTCGAGTCAACATTTCGCTATATCGGTTTTTCTCTTTATCATCCATAATTAATAACTATTCCATAATCACAAGATTACATTTTTAAAAGTGAAAGCATTTTCTCATCATTAATACATGAGTCGTTCGATCTCAACAAAGGAGAGAAAATCATACTGTTTATGCTAATTCTCTGAGAGGGATTTTCCTTGCACTCAATACCTCAAACCCACACGCCATGCTGCAATTTAAGACATGTTGCAGGCATTTCTGACCGACATTTCAAATAACCCGCCATAACCTTCCGGTCACCAATCAGACGCAAGTAACATAATTTTTCATAAAAAAAATAGCAAAAAACACCACAAACAAAAAATCTAGAAAAAACTTACCTGGCGTCCTTGAGCCAAGAAGAACACGTTTCGGGTGACTTCCTGCGATATGTTACGCCACTGCAAAATCACTTCAAATTTTATAATTTCTTGTAGTATTCATGTCAGCATCTTTCAAATTGCTTGGAATCATAACACTTTAACACACTTATTCCAATTTTTAGCACAAAAATCAGTCAACATACACACAAATAAAAAAAAGGTAAAAATTTCAAGTAGCGCGCTGTGGAAGCGGGTAGTTGTCAGTATTGCCAACTGTTTAAAGCCAAAAATGAAAAAAACACAACACATTTTTCATTAATCTCATCACTAAAATTAGTTTGATTAGGTTTTAAATGGCTCAAGTTTCAAGTGTGGTAATTTAAAAAATCTTTTATGTGGAGTGCCTTCACTGCCTAATGGCGCGAAATTCGAATTGTTTTAGGCAAAGTGAAAGTCAACAATGTTCCCTTAGCCACTCAAAACATCCCTGCAACGAACGGGGTAATCCATGCAGTCGACGCCCTTTTGTAATTAGTAAGTTATTACGTATTTATTTCATTGTCATTATTGTATCGTTCCCACGAGCCATCCCATTGTTGTATTGTTTTATGTACTATTTTAAAGTTGTTTGAAAAAGAAAGAAAAAGGCTGAAATGCTCGTCAAAACAATGCCAACTTTTAAATTATGAAAAAATGTAATTAACCTTAGTTGTAAGTGATCATGTAATATACTATTTTAAATAAAGAAAACACAAGTTATTTTGAGTTAATTATTTATTATGCAACGTGCGAAATCATTAAAAATGACAATATAAATACACAACAAATTCCCTAAACATCACAATGAATTAATGTAAGTACCTAATAACATTAGTAATTAGTTTTATATTTTTTCATTTCAACCATAATGAGGTGAATATTAGTTAGTTGAGTCCTAACATTCGGTGTTAATAATTTATGAAACCTATGATAATATTGCACTAATTGCGTCAAAGCTAATTGTAATAAACTCGACCCGGTAAGAAGGTTCGGAAACGACAACAGCACCTCCCGATTCAATTCCTCTAAACTTTTCTTCCAGTTACTGGAAAAATGTTGCACAATCGCCAACGATTTTCCTTCCATCTTTTTCATTTCTTCAGTCTTTCCTTTTTCCAGTAAATACTCGCATTCCTTGACGTATTGCATCAACTCCCCGAAATGCGGACTGAGAATCTCTTCCACGTATTCGCCACTCCTTGATGAAAGCCGACTCTTGAAAGTCTCAGCCTCCTTTGAATTATCCCTCGTCCGTTCCATTATGACATGCAGGATCATATCGTAATTATTTATCAGAAAAATGAGCTGTTCTTTACGCTCGGGGAAAATCCCAGCCATTCGTAAAATAAACAATTCGACCTCTTCTTGCAGTTCGGCCAAAAGACGATTGACTAGTTCGTTCGGAAAATTCTCGCTTATTCCGACCAAAGCGGCGCTAAATTCGGCATAACGACGCGTAATCTAGACAGAACACTGTATTTTCGTTAATTACTCGATTTCGACTCACATAGTGTGGCCCCATTTCCAGATTAAACTTCGTCGGATCGCAATCCCTGATACTGGCGATATTGAGCCGAAACACGTATTCAAAACGTGTCAATATTATTTTTTCCAAATTATCCCAATAGTCATCCAGGGCCGGCACGCAGCGTTTGTGACACATAATTTTGTAGCGCAGAATTAAATGGAAACAGAGAAAAAGCGCAATGGTGTCGTAACAATCAGAAACAAACGTTTCCAAGTTTTTCTAGAAGTTTTATTAGTAAAAAATTATTTAATTTGTAGTAATACCTTCAAAAGACCGGTTGTTTTCCCCATAATTTGATTAAATAAATCTAATGCTGGTTGCCCCCTGACCATGAAAAATTCGCTCACAAATAAATACTCGCGACAGGCGTTGTCAACTAGTGCGTATTGCTCACTTCTGAAGAGAGCCTCAAAAGGATACTAGACAAAAAAATAATAGCATTGTTATTTTTTGATACTCACCCTATTTTTTGATTGTGCATGAGGCACGATTATGGGGGCTTCCAGCTGTTGGGCTAGAACGTCCCCTCTATTTCCTATTGTAAAAACAGTCCCTTTGTGTTTGAGAGATTTGTTAAAAAGCCCCCTTGTAGCCGTATCCTCAATCCCCATCAAATCATCCTTAGTGGTACACTCCTCATACTGTAATTTCATAATCCTTCCAGAATATGATTTAAAATAAGAGAAATAAATTTTACTCATTGTATCAACATATTCATTGCAAATTTCTTGTGCCACATTTCTCTCATTTGACAAAATAAACTCAAAGAAAAATTTGTATTTCAACATGTTGTTTTGAGGCACCTGATAATTCGTCATTGGTTTTCTAAACTTGTACACTTGTTCTAGCAAGTAGGTCCTAATCTTTGACATGGCTTTAATTTTTAGTTTTTCTAAAATATCCTTAACATCAAGACACGATTTTGATTCTTTAAAACTTTGCTCTTTTACAAAGCTAATTTTGTGATTGAGAACTTGAAGTTGAGTTAGAAATTCCTTATCCGTAACTGGGTTTTCCATAATACCCACAATAAGTGATTCAGGTACAGCCATATCGTCAATAAATTGGCTCAACTGCCCCCTGATCGCTTGCCTATTACTCAATTCTTGACTCATAGAAATCGACTTTCTTTGTAGTGACAAAATCTCGCTACTAATACTCCCTAAATCAGTCTGGAACCCCACTAACATTGTCTCCATCCGTTCCAGAATTTCGTCACATGCTGAAATTTGATTGTGAAGACTTGCAATGTTTGCACTTTCTTTGATATAGTCCTGAATTGATTTATCTTCAGCCTCTTTGAGTTCTTTTTCGATTTCTTTAGAGTATTGTCGAAGGTCGGTGAAAGAGTTGAGGATGTCTTGAACAACTTCGTCGTCTAGGGCATTGTCAATGCCACCAGAAGAAGCTTCCGATAATTTAGCACTCATTCTGAAACACCTTCACAACAAGAAAACAACAAACATATTTTTAATTTTGATAAAGTAGAAAAAATGACAGGTGAAGATTGACAGGTGTCAAAAGAACATTGACACCAAACAGGAGTGCCACAAGCTCAATCTTATTCTAAAAACTAAGTATCTAAATAAAAGATTTCACCGTAATCATRTAAATCATGTAGATTTACATGATATTATGATCTACATTGTAGATCCTAATAAAATAATAAAATCGAGGGTTACAACTAATTTAAGTTAAATATTTTTTTAAATATAGAGATTTTAGTGTTATAAGGTTGTCAGATTGACTGATTTAGTAATTTTGCGTTGCAAGAGTGGTGTCACTTCCTTCTTGTTTGTGCATTTGGTGCAAATATGGTGAGTTTTACCTTTTTGCTTATTTTAATAATTATCCGAACCATCTGCATTTTTTTCTATTGCAATTTATTATAAAAACAAACTTACTCGTTCATCTAAGAGTTTCAAATAATTTTTTTTTCTGTTTACCGAGAATTCCCAACTCTAACCTTACTTTTTTGTCTGTTTCAGTCTCTTGTTATTCCTGAGAAATTTCAACATATTCTTCGTATTTTAAATACGAACATCGATGGTAAACGTAAAGTCATGTTTGCCCTCACGGCCATCAAAGGTGTTGGCCGAAGGTACTCAAACATTGTTTTGAAAAAAGCCGACGTTGACTTAGACAAACGTGCTGGTGAGTGTTCCGAGGAAGAAGTCGAAAAAATCATCACGATTATGTCGAATCCTCGTCAATACAAAATCCCTGATTGGTTCCTCAACAGACAGAAGGACATTGTTGACGGTAAATACAACCAGGTCAGTATCCCTTACTTTTTAGTCAGCACTGTAAAACGGCAATATTGAGCCCCTAATCTCAATTCTGCTGGTAGCCTGTGCGATATTATTAGCGATTGTGAAGTGAGTTGCTTGAGACAGCCGGATTTGTGGACTGGTCACTACTGTAGTGAAATCTGGGAAGCATTTCTGGACTATCAAGCAATTGTATGCACTTTGCAACAGTCTTTTTTTTCTTTCTATATTTTGTTAATTAGAGGCTTTTGCTGATCTTGGACTATTTTTAGTTGACTTCATCAACACTAGATTCCAAATTGCGTGAAGATTTGGAACGCATGAAGAAAATTAGAGCCCACAGGGGTATGCGTCATTACTGGGGTCTCAGGGTCCGCGGTCAACATACCAAGACCACAGGTCGTCGTGGACGCACTGTTGGTGTGTCCAAGAAGAAGTAATCTTGGAAATTTTTATTTTTAATTATAATAAATTGATCATTTTGATAATGGATTTTTGCTTGGTCTCCCTTATAACATTAAAACAAATTTTAATTTGTACATATTTATTGAAGATAACGATTAACAATATATTACAACTAGAGAGTAGATTATGTTAATTCTGAGCTAAAATTTCAACACAGTTTAAAGCTTATTGATACAATTTTATCGACTTGTGTAATTGCACCATTAGTTTAAATTGACTGCATTATTGCATATAGGGGTTTCTAAAGGGACACAATTTCGCTGGCAAGATACATTCAACAAAATATACAAATAAACGAAATAAAGGTGAACACATATTGTCATCAATGCCTTATTAGAATGAGAGGAATGATTACATCTATCTGGGATCACAATAAATACTCGAATGGAATTAGTCGGAAGACGTAATTTGTTAAGAAATGAATTCCAGGTACGCTCGTGGAACTTTACCCTTTTGGTGCCCGCGCTCGCCATATAAATAATCTTCGTTGGGTTTATCGCTCAGTTCTTTAACCATAATAATCTAAAAACGACTCAATTACCCTCGTAACAATTTTTCTTGGGAAATACCTCGTTCGCCATTAGACTTAATTCAGTCGTATCTTGCCCATCATAATCGTATATAACACGGGCTTTTCGCATTCCGTTATTTGATACTTCGTTGTTCCATTCGTTTGGTTTAGGATTTATGGGAGAATTGGGATCGACACCAGGCATCGAGGACATACTGTTGGTAAATAAAAAGAAAACAAAAATAAAAATCTGTGCACAAATCAAGCTGAAGCGAAGCTAGTGAACAGTTTTGATTAATTGCATTCAGCTACAGAAGCGGTGATTGTGACTGGAGGTCTCTTTTATTTCGTGAAAACACCCGAACTACAAATATTTTTGATTAAAAATAGTTTTAACAGACCTCCAGACTATTGCGTTATAAAAGTACACTAAATACTTTCGAGATAATTATCACTCTAATTTGGTGTTTGATTTAATTTTTACTGTGTCAGGGGTAAAGGCCGAATCCATTCAAAACTTTTGTTTTTAAATGAATTTTGCCCCAAAACTATCTCTAAAAAGTTCCAATAAATTATCTCGAACGGGATTTACAAAACTCTGGAACTAATCTACAGGACAGAATACTCGGAGTCATCCGAGGACGTTATAATAACTGGGGTAAACGCCGCCGGAGACGAGACCCGCGTATTATTAGGTACCACGGGCTCAAGATCTTCGCTGTTAAGTCTCAAGACAGGGCCGGGTTTCACAGAGCTGAAACATCAACATGCATCAAGCGACAACCGCTTAATCACCTCTAAAGCCTCAATTTCTAATAGGAAGAGAACGCCAATGCACAAACAATTCGAAATTACCTGGCGAGTTCACGCTGCAAATCCGTCATAATCGTAGTGCATTGCGAATAAAATCGTGCTTGAGTCTCTACGAATTCTTGCAAACAACGGAGATGTGCAGCGTGGGAACTACCGATTCCTTCAAGTAGAAGTTTCGTTATTTCGGCCTGACGGTCGAACTCCGATTGGGCAATTCGCAGATCTCTCTCGGCCTAAAGACACATTTTTCAACACAAAATCGTTGACAAGACAAACAAGAAATTCAAAGCGCACTGGGGACTTTACCTGCTCCAAAACTTCTTCCGGAGAAATCCCTTCTTTCTAATTTAGCAAGCGTGAAATTTTTACAGGTTTACAATATTTTCAGTAATTTAATTATTTAGGATTCAAAATATCCTACCTGTAGTCATATTGTTCACATAATAATAAATTGAAAAAATTAATTTACTACAATAATGAAATAAAAGAAGTTTGTATATTGTGCGTGAAGAATATAAGAGTATGAAAAACGGTACCTGTGTCAAATGTAAACGAAATTGCTACCATTAAAAATAAATAATTAGTGTTCAATTGAATTAATTAGTTGATTCATTAATTAACTTACCGCTGGTTGCCCTAACATACTCCTCGCTTTGCGCACCCTATTCTTACACGCGTCCAAATCCAACCTGTGACAAACAGCCAAATTATAGCCCCTTTTTCCATTGCTACCAACCGTTTGACTTCCAAAAGATTCTTCTCCTTGAGTATGGTCTTGATTTCGGTATCCAAAAACTTGCGCATAGGTTGTGTGAAACACATGGCAGCCGACCCGATAAAGTCCCTCTCGTTCTGCCCCAACTTCTGTTCCCATTGCCCCACTTTGATCAAGCAGCTCCCGTAGGCAGTTCCCGGTCCGAACACATTTCCAGCCTCGATCATATCCAAACCCAAATACTCCAAATTGCTTAGTCTCGAAGGCCGCTTTTTGTCGATTTTCTCGTAGATGAAATCTTCGATTCGATTACCGGGATTGGGAATTAGGACCGCTTCCGCATCCCGAACGATTTTCTCCGTCCAGTTTTTGGTGTTTTCGGCTCGTTCCCAGAGATTTTCGAAGTGAGCATCGAGTTCGGTCTTTTCGGACGTGCCCAGTTTTTCTTCGGTCATCTAAAGTCAGTGACAACTTAACCTAGAAATGTGGAGCCAAGTGGGCTCACCTGGACGACGCGGCTGATGGCAGCCCCCGCATCCTTGACAATTTTTTTCACGTTGAAATCCATTGTAAGTGGGATTTGTGATGTTTTTTTACTGCATTATATCGATTTCTGTTGTGACAGTTTGACAGGGTGGAAATGTCACACCAGGCTGGGGGCACGAAATTATATTTAAATTAATTTAAAAATTTAGCACGGACTTGGAGTGGATTGTGAGTGTTTCGAACGGAAATGATTCAAAAGAAAAGATTTCGATCACGCTGTTGATTATGATATGACTGAGTTGGTAACGCTGTTTGTAATTTAAATTTGGGCGCTAAATGTCAAAATGGGTAAATCCTTGTGACTCAAAAAATGAAAAATGACCCTCATAATCATGAAAAGACTTTTCCTATAAGACGAAGACATGGGGAAGGTTCAAGTTCGTCACTGGTGAGTCATGGGAGCGTAAAATTTGGTTACATTTAGTTTGAAGGAATCTTCAGATATTGAAGGAACTTTCATTCCCCTAACACAGGCTGACTCTAGATGGGAAAGTTTAAATTTTCTCAATGGGAATTTTAGAGAAGAGGAGCAAGAAGATGTCGTAAAAATCACAGACTTGCAAACTGAGGAAAAACCTCCTTTATTTTTGTTGTTTCCGGACTTGGGTAATAAAGATAAGGAACGTCTAGCAAGAGAAACTTCAACAACTCAGATTACACAAATTTTAGTCGGTAAAAGAGCAGATTTTAGTCTCCTAAAACCTTCGAAAAAATTAGATCCGGAACAGGTGGTTCTCTTATGATTTTTTTTTTTAAATAATATTTTATTGTAGAGTAAATTACCTCCAATACACGAAGGGCCACATGAAAGTAGTGACAGTGAAGGATCAATTAAATAAAACACCTATCGGTTTGTTAATTTAATTTGGTAGTAAAATTTACATTTATTTATACTACTGCTTATTTATAAACATACAAACAATAAAACAATGACACAAAAAAGATCCAAAAACTGTACATTTGTGCGTTTTCTTATTTGATTCTAAACCGATCTTTTTTTAAATTTTTACCCTGAACCTTGAGTAATAATAAAATCAGAAAAAAAATCTTAATATTGCACTGGAAAACTCGTCAACAATTACCAAGTCGGGTTCTTGTCAACAATTACACGAATATCCTCTAATTAAAGCACTTTTAGGGAAATTACCTCATCAAAAATCACTCCCTTATTGGCAAGCCTGGAACGCTTGCAACTGTTTCACTGCTAGATTTAGCTACTCTATCAATCGTCTATAAACTATTTAATAAATCAGTCGAATGGTTATTAAGTACATTATTACAATTGCTGTCAATTGAACAAAAACAGTGGTCTTCGCCCTAGTTTAATAATAGTGAATTTCAGGTTGGTAGAAAAGACAATAATTTGTTATCCCCCAGATACAGCACATAACTTCCATTCTAAAGCGAAAAACATTGTTTTCATTAATTCAACTTAACGAAATGAATATTGCAGCAAAATGGTGGATGCGCCGGGTTAGCTGCAAGGCTGCCAACAAGACCGAACGGTTGGCAGTACTTGTTTTTTGAGTATTGTCACCAGAAACAAATTTTTGTGTATAAATGTAAAGCAAAACAACATAAATCTATGGAATTAATTAAAAAATAAAATAACAAAGTCAACAAGAAAGCTACCAATTCAACTATTTTAGGTCACTAAATATCTAACTGCCGTGGTGTTTGTCATGTAGTCTTATTATCATGAACGTTAATTATCTGATATCAGTCACTTGGCCTACAACATATGTAGGTCGAAGGTGAGAATAAAAATTGCCCTAATATCAACAAAAGCCCCTAAAAACAACAAGACGAGCAAAGTATTGCGATAGTAGAAAAAGTAACACATTTATGATTTTTCGGGTAGATTACATGCCCCAAAAAACACCGACTCTACATTAACATATAGTCACATGAAATGATGATGTAATRTGTCACCAATTGACAACTCTGGTTTTTACAAAAAAGCCGCTTATATAAAAATAACTATTGATTGTTTTACCTTCTGAACGATTTTTGGTCKACGATTACCGTTTCCGGGGCCAATATATTTTCAAATATCGGACCAAACGGTGCGGAAAAGCAAACCGAAAACCGTCTTCCAGCAGATGTCATTGGGACTTCATACTGACCAATTTCCTACTCCTCGCCCTAACTTCTTGCCGAGTATTTGTATATTCGAACCACAAAACGTTTGGTATCAACGTCGTGTCTCTCAATAATAAAATTTCTGAAATTTTCCTAAAAAGAACAATAATAGTAAGGCGAGAAAATTGTCTGGAGGCCAAATACCAGGTCACTATTTGGGGAAAAAGTGGCGTGAACACGAGGTAAGTCAGCGCAAACCAAAAAGTTGCAAATAAGATTCCCACGAAAGCCCCACACAAGACCTGGGAGATGGTGTGGTACTGCAGATAAATGCGACTAACACAGACCAATAGCGCCATCACCAGTGACGACGATATTATTAAAATCTTCGACACGTTCTCAATAATCGTGTTATTGTTCATGTGGTGGAGCCTAAAATTAAGAATCAGTCCTCTCACGTCTRGCAAACACCCCCTTACCTAATAAACACGAAATAAATGACGTAAGTGGCGAAAAACCACACAAACTGGGCATGTGACGAGGGCATGCCATATTCCCCGTACAAGTCCGTCCTCCTCATGGGTCGTTCCTCGCAAATCGTGTGTTTGAGGAAATAGTTGAGGGCTTCCGAGCACAACGTCCCGAGAAAAAACGTTATCGTGTGCAAGTCGCGTCGAAAGAGAATTAAAGCCACGAAACCGGCCCCGATTCCAAAGGGGGCCAGACTGATCAAAGCGAAGATTTTACCGATGAAATCACCTGGAAATGTTAGTAAACTATGAAATGTCAAAATTAAAAGAGGGATTTTTTTTAGTTGGTGGGACGTGTCCGAAGGTGGTTGTAACGGAATTATACCTTTGGGGTACTCGACCAGGGTTAGGGAAAGAGGCACCCATTCTGTTCTGTCAGTTACATCAGTTGGTTTAGGAAAGTTGCCCTCGTTCAAATCAAACGTGGCCATTTTGCATTTTATCGCGCTTGACAGATGGGTGACAGGGCCGGTTGGTAAATGTGCGAACTGTTTTATTGATGTGGGACAGGGGATCCCTGCTGAACTCTGACTCCACTTAAAAAGCTTTTTTTTTAATTAATAACTAAATAATTATTCTGAAATAGTTTTACTTAAAAATGCACTGCAACATGTAATTAATTATATAAATATATGTTTAGTAAAATGATTTACTTTTAAAATTCCCGCTTATTTTTTTTAAACAATTAGTCACGTGCCCAGTCATGGCGGCTTTGTAGTTTTCTGTGCGTGTTTTTAATTTATTCGATTCCTCTAATGTATTTCAACTGTTTTGGATTGAATTTTTACGTTTTTAGCTTTTGTTATGCTTTTGTGGAATTATGAAGTGACTAGAAATGTCTTGACCTTTGAGTAAAACGAAATTAAAGAATATGAAGAACAAAATGTACATATATACACCGGGTAAGTTTTGTAGTTTGAACAAGTAAATAAAAAAATCTTATTTTGAGTATTGAAACTTATTAGTTAACATCACTTTATTAAGGCGTCTAATAACTTTTTTACTATTTTTTTTAAATATCGGGAAATAAATTTCAAAAATTTTACAGGTTTGTTCTGGTGAATCCCACATATAAAAATTATTTAAATATATGACCTAATCGCCCGAAAAGATTATTTGAACGTCAATAAAGCGCATTAGAAAATATAAATTTTCTGTCTCATAAAAATCTCTCCGAAAAAGTCGAAAATCATGTGGAAAATTAAAAACTGCACTACAGATGGTACATTCGACCTACTTTGTCACAAAAAAAGAGTATGACGAAATACCGAATAACCGAATTTGAGGTTAAGTCTGTTATGTTTAGAACTTGACGTAGATAATATTTTTTTTTGCAACAATATTGCTTGTCGCCGTACATTATTAGTTATTATAGAAATAATGGCCTGTAGATTAATACGTAGTTTATCAGTCACGAATCGTATGATGGGTTCATTTAAATACAAATCGTAAGTTTGCTTACAACCTTTGAACCCTCCTTTTTTACAACTCATTCATAGGAATACCATGAGTCGCTCTTGTTGTACTACACCAACCGATAAAGTGTTAACAATACAAGAACGTAAGTACATACCTCCATCATTCAAGCAACCCGCCAAAACTGCATTTCTAGTTTCGGTAAATCTGGCGAAAATTATGGGGGTCGAAAATGGTTTTTCCCCCATCAGGGCCGATCGATCTCATCTCAACGAATACCTTCCTAAAAGTCAAAACGAACTACCTCCACGAGCCATGAGGGATAGTTTTCTAGTGGCTATGATACCCCTTTCGACAAGTACTCGGCTGCAAGACCGATATACGACTTTTTTGGGGTACGTCCGAGTCGGGCGTTTACTCGAAGACATGGATATTTTTGCCGTTATGGTGGCACAGAAACATATCCTCAACCCAAAATTACCCGAAGGGGTACCCTCTCCTCAAACTCTAGTTACGGCATTGGTGGATAGAATCGATTTTAGCGACTTTGTCCCGAAACCCCATGAGGATATCAAGATTTCCGGCCATGTGAGTTGGGTCGGGAGGTCTTCCATGGAGGTGGTGGTGTGGCTAGAGCAGAAAATGTACGGGACGTGGCATAGAATCACGAGGGCTTTGTTCTTGATAGCTGCGAGAGATCCGACCAATACGAAAGCGGCAATGGTCAATGCGATAGAGCCGGCGGATGACCGAGAAAAGGCCATACTTGCAGGGGGGGAAACCCGTAAAGCAAACCGAATAGCCTTAGAGAAGCAACACGTGTTGAAAGTGATCCCCGATCATGACGAACAGAGGATCATCCACGACTTATACTTAAAAACCAAGTCCAATAAAAATCTAAGTTTTACCAATATGGTACTTCCTGCGAWTGGGGTCTGGATGGAGGACTGTACCATCTCCAATACGATTTTTTCCCAACCGGAAAACCGGAACCTCCACAATACGGTTTTTGGAGGGTTTATCATGAGACAAGCCGCGGAACTCAGCTGGGTTCTAGGATTTAAATTTAGTAAATACAGACCTAAGGTGAAGAGCATAAGCGATATTAAGTTTAATAAACCGATAGCTGTGAATTCTCTTATTCATATGTATGCCCACGTGGTTTTTACTCAGATGCAATTTATCCAAATTGTGGTCTATGTGGAAGTTTTTGACCCACAGACTGGAAATACTGACACCACGAATGTTGTACACTTCACCTACGAAGTGCCTGAAATTGTCAGAGAAGTGTATCCTCGGACTTACCAAGAGGCCATGATGTATATCGATGGAAGAAGACATTTTTTCGAAATTATGAAGACACCACATGACCATGATAAGGTTTTAAAAGAAGAAGGGATTAACAATAAAAGCAAGCTTTAAGAGGATCGGGTTTTTGGATATTTATTTTAATTATCAATTCGCAATAATTAGGTCGCTTTAAATTTCCTTTTCCATAACATGTGATATTAACAGTTTTATTACTTCTAAGTATAGCGTAATAAATGAACGTTGAACATTCTTAATCGATGTTTCTCTTTTTGTTTTTATTAATTAATTTATTATAAATAAATTTTTATTTATTATAAATAAATATATCGGTGGTTAATTGTTTTTTCTTTACACCGCAACCCGAGAAGAAACTAACAAAAATTTAAAATAGTTTATTAAAAATTAAATACACTTGTGCACAATGTTTTATAAAAAGTTTTAAAATATAAAAACATTCAAACAAAATATAGAGCTATATCTGTACTAGAGTGATGTGTTTTAAATCACAATAAATATAACATCGATGTTATTTAATAACTTAGAAACATTTACACCTGCACAAATTTACAAAACCGTACGACCTAAAAGCTTGAACTTATTCGAAAAATGGAAGAATCGACTGAATACGCTAACTTTAAAAACTTAATTTATTTGGCAGTTCTTTGTTCTTTGACCCAGATTATTTCCGGACTGTACGTGTTCCCGGGCTCCCTTGTGAACTTAATCACCAACTCCCTTGACCTTAACAAGAAGACCAACTTAGCGAACAAGTCCTCTTCCATCCTGTACTGGCGAAACGCCCTCACGATGTAAATATCGTTAAGCAGATTGTAAATCCGATTGGGATTCGGCATGTCCTCCAACCAGATCGTCTCCGTGACTCTTCCGATGACTGCCATTCTCACCGAACGATACAACGCGAAAAAATACAAAGCATACAGCCCAAAAATCCTATAGACAGTCATTTGATTAAGTCATTTGAAGTAACCTAAATACGAAGCTACGAAGCCACTACAAGCTAAGATTTCCTGAGTTTCCGATCGGTGTCGAAGGACTTAGGCGTCCCCTTCGGGATCCTCGTCTTCACCGAGTTCTTCTTTAGGTCGTGTCCACTTAATCATAGTTTCCGGTGACCGGAAGAGGAACACTAGTTTCGCGAAGAGGTCTTCTTCGAGAGCGAATTCGCCGGCTTCCCGTACTAAATAGATGTCGAGACAGAGTTGCAACACTCTGTCTATATTGGGCATGTCTTCAAACATGATTTTGAAGCATTGCTCGGCGAAGAAGCCGCGGAAGAAGCGGAAAGCAACGAAAACTAAAGTTGAGTAAAGGCCGATTATGCTGCAAGGTGGGCCAAAAGTAAGCAATACGCCAAAATTTACCAGAAAATACTAATTTACTTCAAAAATGTGTCCCAGCCTAGATTTTCTTGGCCGATTTGTGGTTTAAAAACCGTAGGTGGGACACTATTTTATAAAGCTAGTCTAGGATACTCACCCGCCCCCTGTTAGAATACTCAAAGTACTGGGGAAAATTTTGTCGTTGAAAGTATACACGATGATAGAGTTGCAATCAGCCATTGGTAACTTTCTGAGGAACATTTTATAATTAGTATCGTTACAATCCTCCTTAATCTGCCACCATTCCTTATCAGTGACGTTACTGCTATCCAAACTTAAACTGATTGTTCTAAAGGCCTTCCCAACAGGATTTGGACTTTCTAAAAGCTATAATTAGCAAACCAACAGACTATAACAAACACCACTCAACCTGCGTCCTCCTTATTTAAGAACATCAACTGTGAAATGGATCTCGCTGTTCCTCGATTCGTAACTTTCAAAAACTTCGGGAGTATATTCTCGAGAATCATCGGACGGGCAGTCTTATTACCCTTCAACATTTGTAAAAGATTCTGCCTCATTTCGTTCGGTTTTCCGTTGATTTTCGCCGGAACTTGTATCTCGACATTGTCTGGAATCACACCGGCATCTTCCGGTTTACTAGTCTTGTGAGAAACCCTATATTCGAGTCGGATTTTTAACGGATCGTTGGAACTAACTTCCGCCACCATTCGGTCACGATCCGGCGGCGAGATACTCCAGATGTTGGCTGAATCTAAGCTAAGTTTAACCGCAGCAATATCAGGACCTTCATAATTCGAAATGAAAGTTGCCGCGGCTTTCTGCTGGATGTAGGCCTGTTGCAATTGTACGAGATTGCTTGGGGTGAATTGATGAATGGAGTTGCTTTGGGCCGACATTTGATAAACCGGTTCGTAGGGCCCTATCCGAATTTCAAGAGTGACATCGTAAGGAGGGTTGGGTTTGCCTACAGCGTTTCCCAGGGAGAAGAAGACTAGAGGGAACCAAATTATGGCTATAATTAGGGCTAGGATTGCTCCTCCCATTAGGTATTTGACGACAGGAGGTTTGCGTTCGCCTCTTGGTTGAGGATACTCGTTTTCGACATGTCGTGTGCACTGTAAATATTTTTGAGTGTTTTTTGAGGAGTCACTAGAATAGTTACCTTGATTTGAAAAATGTGTGAAAATATGTCCTCCATTTTGATCCAGTCGAAAACAGTCATTGAGGTATCAGTCCACATCCAATCCATCACAGTTCTCAATTCGAATAAAAAGGGAATTGCCATGAAACCCTTAAATAGGAACATATTGACATAGTTGTAGCCTTTACAAAGGAAGTTGCCCAAAATTCGAGTCGGATAGCCACATCTGATCTGATATGCTGATAGCAGCAAGTAGAAACACTTGACCATGTAATACATTTGAGGAGCTAAGACCGAATTAAAGCCCCTACAAACCTTCATTAAACCTTTGACTCAATTTTGGGCAAGTTGTTACCTTTCCGTTATTATTGGAAAAACAATAAAGAGCCAAATATGCAAGACAAAAACTTGGATAAACTGGAATATAATCTTAGCTAAAATATTCTTCCTTAAAAATATCCCTCGGTCCACTATAATTAACGTGAATTGTAAAATAAGCATTAGGAGGAACAAAACGGGAACTCTATCGTCTTCCAGATACGACGACACTCCTCCATCTCCTTGTTGAGTCCCAAACGAACTATACCCAATCAAAATGACGAAAAAATTGTAAAAATCGCACAGAAACATGTACGAATACACATCAGCAGCGACCCTGGACGTGGGATCTCGCAACTGCTTAAAAAACAATTTGATACTTTCCCCGTATTTCAAAACCCTAAAACAAGCGTGAAAAAATTTGACAAACTCATTTGAGACACTAACGCCATTTTTAACGATTGGGGCAAGTGTGCCATAGGATCGACCGTTTGGCAATCCACACTCAGAATCTTATTTTGCAAATCGTGCTTGCTGATACTAGCCCTCCGCAATTCCTCTTCGTTTTGATCTGACTCCTCCACGAGCCGCTCCAGATCACTGTCCTCAGGGGCTGAAGTTTTACTCGACAGAGACTTATCGCTGTGTTTGGAGCTGCTRCAAGTGGAAATACATGATTTTGGTTATTGGGGGAACCCCACAAGTACCTTATTTTTTTATGGAACTTGAATAAGGATAGGAATCGTTTCGGGACAGGTTTTTTGAAGGTTGGATGATGGACAGTCCGGGATTTATCTTTATAAACAACAACGGATTTACGTCTGGAATTGAAGGTTAAAAGGGTGCAGACAAACTAAGTATGTACCTGCGGCGCATGATTTGAATGTCACTCTGGATCTGTTCGAGTTTACCATCAGCGCTTACTTTGTAGTCGCCTTCGGTCAAAAGGGCTGCTGGGACAGGGGAACTTTTCCACAGACCCATCGACTTTAACATAAATCTACAAATGAAGTGTGTTTCAAAAGTACAAATGTTGTTCAGAGAGTAAGTACCTGTGGAAAAATACGACCAAGAGGAGCAAGAGATCCCAAACGGCAAAATTCGCGTTACGCTCAATTCCTATTATTCTTGGAGGGTAGAAAGGGTTGTTTGTGATTGCTTGACTCATGTTCCAAGGGATTATATCGAATTGGAACATACATTTGATCAACACTATTACCTATAAATGTTTTGTTTTAAAGGTCCGACAGCATGACAAAAAATTGTTTAAGGTACCTCAGTATATGCTATAATAGTGACCCAAAAAGTCTTGTCCGGTCTCGGTATCGTCAAAGTACCCCAAAGGAACACCATGAGGGGTAAAGGCAACGACAGAAAAGTAGCTGATTTGATTTGGTTCAAAAATATGACAAAATAGCAAACGTTTTCCGATCGACTCATTATGATGTACCAGATTGCGAGTAAAAGTCTTATTATGGGTGGTTGGTCGTACGAGGACATTTCCGTGACTTCATACTCCTCCATATCGATCCGTGACTCCTCCCTGCTAAAAATTTTGCGTCAGATGTATCCAAAATATAGTTTYATCTTGCATATTGCACATTGACAACATCGAATTGGAAAATAATCAGAAATTTGGCTTGACGAGACGAAGCAGAATGAAAAAAACGTGTCTGTAGAGAGAAGAGCGAGGCCATGCACCAAGCGCACAACACCGTGCTGTGTTACCTTGGTGTTGAAGGCGAGTCTAATCCACGTTCCAGACTTGGGGCCAGAATGCGTATTTCGGGGACCGTGAGAACACTCGCCTTGCGCCTACAGCCAACATACAGCCCTTTCTAAACTACTGTCATTCCGTCAATTCGTATATTTATACATAAAAAAGGATAAAAACGAGTGCTTGAAATCGTCGAAACGATTTCGAGCACTCTGGGGAAAGGGAAATACCTGTCCTGTTCGGACGTGTAGGGTAAGGTAGCCATGGCTTTTTGGTCGCTCTCGTCACTAATTGGCGGTTTCTCGTCGTTGTCTCGACGATCCAAAGATGGCCTAGATGAAATTCAGGGAGGGAATGGTTAGTAAATAGAATAGTTAGGCGAAAAAAGGACTCTTGACAGACCTATCGCTATTCGAGACGAGTCTGTACGAATCGGAGGGACTGAATGTGCCGCAAGACGGAGTCGGTAGCACCGAATCCTCACTACACAGGACAAAAAGTACTACTAACTACACACTAACTACAGAAAACTACCAAAAAACTAACAAGAACACTTACTGTGACTGGCGAAGAAGACTATTGTACGATGCTGCTGGTTGCCACAACTGACCCGAGCCGAGCCGCAATCCAACATTGTAGTCCGTGTGTTCTTTCAAAAACTTTTTCTCTTTGGTCAAAACACGGATTACGTAACGGTAATCTCTCGAATATTTATTGAGGAAGTTGGTAAGACTGACCATTGAGCTTTGTATGAAAGCCCAGACGAATAACAACCCGATCGAAATTTTTTCACGGATTGTTGGTTCTGCAAACAGTGAAATAGCAAAAGACGCAAAATAATTTATTTGAATTACTTTGTTCACTTATCACACTGGAATCGTCATCATCTTTGCTAGTGCCCGGCTTAGGTTCGTCTTTACCCCGTTCATCAATAATCGTGACAGTTCTAGGTCCGGGTTCCTCAATCTGGAAAAACAATTTAAATAGAAAATGAAGAAGCAAGTTGTGACAAGAAGCGTCCAAAATGTTGTCCTAGTCCTACATCAAGTGTTTTTTTACAAAGCGGAACAATGTGGTCACACTAGTTAGTAACTCACTATAGGAGGAGCAGAATACGGTGCTGATAGTTGTGATCGGGTCGATATTATCGATTTCTGCCTCGTCGGTAGAGGCATACTTCCTCTTCGACGAAAATCAGTCTCAGAACGTCTCACACTCGTACTGATGTCAGTCTTCAAGGCAGTACTTAGAAGCTATAAATGTTATTTAGTTAAATGGATGGTGATGACGTTGGGTTAGTTTAATTCGGCACAAGCCTTGGCATGGTCACTAGAGACAATAAAGACATACCTCGCTAACAGTCTGCCCGTGACCCTTGCCCTCTTCTTCATCTTCATCTTTTGGTATGTCCATAAAATCTAACTCATCTTCGTCATCTAAATCATCGAACATGTAGTAGTCGCCCGAACGAACAGCTGGAGGAGGAAAATGGAGATATTAGTCGAAAATTAGTAGCGAAAGCACAAAATCTGATCAAAACCCACAAGCAAGTGACACGACTACGTGTTATGTACAGTGAAGAATGTTTAAAACACAAAAAACTAATCACTCTGTTAAACACAATCGCACACTCAAGGCAAAAGTCGTGGCGAAATCATGATCATGCCTCTATACAACTATATAAAAATGACAAGCATGAACCAAAACCGTCACCAAAAAACCCAATAATTTACCCTGCTTGTACGACTTTGGTTCCCTCCTTCTTCGCTTTGGCCTACCCTTAAATATCGTATCTACAAACCAAAAACGGGGAGTAAAAATTTTATACAATAAAAATCCAGGGTTTTTAAGCAAGTAACCATCTCCCGATTTAAATCTGGTGTAGGAAAAACCAAAAACGGTGCACTTTTATGGACAGTGAAATTATTGATTGAAGCATATTTACTGCCTCATGCCTCAACATCAATAATTCCTACATTCGTGATGGCTCAGTGGCGACCTGGATGAGTACGAAATAATACTCTGTCGCGGCGTTACGAAACTTCCTTGCATCCAAGGTGGCCCGATGCTCGTCTGCCTCTGGACCGCGACAGGCGGTTCGCTTACGGCTTCGGCATAGGGAGGGGCAGCATCGTATGGAGGTGGTGAAAACACTGGGAAACTGTCATCGGGGGAAGGAGGACGGGGGTTGAGTTCGGAATTTGGGGGCGAACTGAAGGACATCCTTTGCGGCTCGAGGTACCCCTCGAGTGACACCGTCATGACCGCTGAATACGGGGAAGGGGCTTGTTGCTGAAGGAGGGAACTGCGAGGAGTGAGAGGAGCGTGCTCCTCTTCCTCTATGGGAGTATGGTAACCGGTGTGTTGGGAAGCGCAAGACGATACCGACGACGAGTGCTCCAGAGGAGGCCGGTCTGGTAAAGTTTGCCATAAATCGGGGAATTTTCCACTAGAAAAATTGAAAACAAGAGAAGAAATACTCACCCACGTAGTGGTTTTCACTATCTTTGTAACTCGATCCTTGGATTTTCTGCTGGTTGGCTTTGATTCGGTCCATCTTGGCTTTGATTTTCTCCAAAACTCGGCGTTCTTGCTCCTCTTGTTCGGTCATACGTTTCAAACGGAGCTGTTCGATGAGCTCAGCCCCCCGTGAAGCAAGAATAGAACCCGCTTTGATTTCATTAACAAGATGAAAGAAGTTATAACTGGTGAAAATGCGTCTTTGCATTATCATAAAACCGAAACATAAACCATCCCACACTAGTCCGACGTACTCTCTTGGAACTTTGCAATCGTTTTCGTCGGTGAGTCCAGCTTGTACGGCAATATCGCCGAACTTTTTTACGCAACCGATACCGAAGAGTTGGATTAGCCAACAAGCGTAGTTTGGTATGTCTTGTATGAAAATACAACCGACTATTTGTAAGGCGGTTTTGCACAAAATTACAAAAACGTTGTATCCCAAAAAGAGGTCCCATGATTTGATGATTGTCGGGATGGGTCGCAGGTATAGGTCGGTACCTTGCCACAAAAACACAAAAGCGCCGATCAAATAACCGATTGAGAACACATTAACTCGGTTAGTGCCGGCTAGAAAAACTATAGCAAGCGTTATCCAAAGAAAACTGGAATAGATTCCTTTCTTCAAAACGTCTAAATATGATCTAACACTCGATATGTAATCCGGAGTTGGGTTAACGAACCCTTTTTCTTCTGCGTAATGGATTATAACATCATTGGAACCACCTGGATAATCACGCCCTGTCCATCTTTTCTCGATACGAAAGATGACAGCTTGACGAGATACCAAGAGAAGTAGAATGAAATCACAAATGAGTTTTTTAGGTGATGGAGGATACTCTGTGTCTAATAAATAGGAGAAGTCTTGAAGTCTTCGGAAAATTGCTGCATTTTTTTCTTCACTTTTGTCCCAATAGTCTTGGTCCCATGGAAATACTGAAACTACTAATTATCCAAGTACCAAAGTCAAAATATTTAGCTTACGTATACACAATGTTGGAGGTAATCCCACTGTCATTACGTACTGAATAGGGAGGAGTAACGCAATAAACATCATGTAGAAATTCCAAATTTTGGCAAGGGTGTCTCTTTTTGCAAGAAACATAACACATAACCATATACTGTAAATAATAGAATACATGTCCATCCTAAAGCCAATAACGGCAACTGTGGCTATCAAACAGATTTCTACTCCAAATTTAAAGAAGCCATAATTGAATAAATACTTGATACAGTTTCTTAAATTTTTATCAGCATCCCATCGCGTTATTTTAGGGAACATGAAAAAGGCCCTTGTCGTCGGTTTCCCTCTTGAAGCTCTATAATTAAACTGCCGGACCAAAATAACCGCCCATATGGTCACCACAAGGATGTACATAATATTCCACTGAACCAATCGAGGGAGATTTTCATTTTTACTCGTTTTGTAAAAACCCAACCATTTTGCGTTGTTCTCAATCTTGGAATTGTTTTGCATCTATTTAATGTCATCTTAGTCAAAAATTTTACCAAAATATAAACACGATACTTACCTCACACGTCACGTTCCAATTACCCGGATTTATATAATCTGTTTGATAGATCATTCGTGCTAGTAACATCACGGAGACAAAAATTGAACTCGTGTAGATTGCAAAAATTTGCATGGGCCGACCGAAAGCACACGCAAGTACTATGAGCAGGACTAGGATAAAGTACAAGGCGCACTTATCGTAAATGCAGACTAGCATTAGAAACAAGACGACGAATTTCGGCATGTGTAATTCCAGAAACAGAAAAATTAGATTGCTAGTGTCGTGGAAATAATTTGAGAGACGTTGCCATCGATTTTGCGATGAATCTACAAGTTTTGTTTAAAGACCAGAGTGGCATACTTAATTTTTTCAACCTGTGGCGGTTATATCCATCTTGAGGGACGAGGATGTTTCATCTTTGTCAGAAGTAGGGGCTCCTCCTTGGAGACTACTCTGATCTAGATCTACTCCGATAACACTGGTATTTTTCGGATCAGACAACTCCATAAACTCTTTATGGAAGTAGTGCAATTGAATTACCGTGATAATAACGAAAAATGTAGGTGTGACCAATCGGACGAATAATTGTTTTGTCTCAAATTTTTCCAGACCGATATCCAGTTGACTAAATATGTAATGGATGTAATGGATAACTTTACCTTTAGTAACTCACCGTTGTATGGGGACATGTAGATAATCTCGCCAGTAGATATCAAAATTTTTGAATTGATAAGTGTAGACCATGACGAGTATCGCCATGGAAAAGACTATGACAGTCAACCAAAAGCCGAACATCATTTTCCTCCAAGCTCTAAACGAGATTTGGAACGTTAGAACGAAAAAGAGGAACAATGCCATGTAAAAAATCCTAAAGGCGGTCATCCTCTCTCCTGTTATGGCTACGGCGAAGAGGGTAATCGCTACCACCCAAATCCAAAATTTCGTTAAAAAATGTCTCAGATATTGCCCGATTTTCTCCATGAGTTTACTACCAGGGTCTTGCTCGTTTTCAACACCAGCTGCCGTTCCTACAGTTACTTGAAGAGGAGCAGCCATATCAGCAAGTGCTGTTGTTTGCCGTTCCTCAATTCGTTCTCTCACGAATTGTCTCAACGTGATCCAAAACATCGCCGTGAAGACGCATTTGACTAGAAGGGGGTTGCATGGGAGAATAGAAACCTTCTGGAACCCGATTTCGGCCAAATCTATGCCTTCGACAGTTGTTGGTAACTCGCTTTCGGTGAGATTCATCGAGTAGATGTATGCCGAAATGAGGAGAAACCAAGCGTAGACCACTAAGAAAGGACTGGATCGAAGCATTGATTTCCTTTGGTTAGGGACAAGCCACAGAAGGTTGGCCCAGAGGAGAAGAACAAAAGTGATCCAACTGATGTAGGTTATGCTCCAGGCCATCATAATGATATTGGTGACAATGTAGGAGGATTTGATGATGACCTGAAGGATCGATTCTAGGCCGTACATAATATTTTCAATGAGGGTCGGCTTGTATTCCTCTTCTGCAGCACCTTGTCAAAAATTTGATAGAGTTTTTGACTTATCAGAATATGACGTGACGGCGGAAATGAAAGCTCTTACCCTTACCGAGTTCATCCATAGGGATATTTTCCTGATTGTCCCCTGTTATTGTAACACTTCCAGTCGAGTCTTGATAAACGGGTGGTTTTTTACCAGAGCCGTAACGTCGTGATGGACTCACTCCCCCAATTAACTAATGAAGGGAAAAATTGTTAGTCAAGTGCTCGACTTGTTTCAATAGTTTTGTTATGATAGGACAAAAACAAAAAGCAAAGCGGAGAAAAATATGGGTGATTCTTCAAAAATGAACATTTTTCCAAAAAAATTTGCATGACCCACCGAGGAAAAGCGTAACAATGACAAAACCAGAAAWWGGAACATTTTGGGAGATCAACCCAATGATAAAAATAAACAATACATACGGGTGTGTGTTCAGTAATGGCATATTCGGTCCCGGAAATCTAGAAAAAATCATGAAAAAAGCAAAATGAAATTAAAAATTAGTGACTATAAATCATAAAATTAAATCAGAAACAAAAAACCGCCCACAAAAAATTATTAGTAAAAGACATCGAGTGGCTTACTCGAACTTTGCGAGTAGCACTCTGCCACTTGTTTCTCGTCGTGGCTCTGCGCATTAGTTGTCTGTTAGAAAGCTGCCGATTCAACGGTTTCGTAAAACTCCCTTCTAGTCGTAAAAATTTTCCCTGCTTCTTTTGCGACTGCAATTGAGGGTTAGTTGAAGCGAATCGCCCCGAATTCGAGTTAGTCCCCACCGTAAAAAACTCACCTGAGGTTTAAGCAAGAATTTCGATTCTAGTACTAGCACATAGTAGAGGAGGAAAAGTGCAATCGGGTTGGCGTAAGTGGCCCATTCCTCCTGCTCCCAAAGGAATGTTCTGGGATCCTCAGTGCAATTGGTTCTGAAAATCGGGGTCAAACCAAAATAACGCGCGTAGGTACTATTCTTGTCAAGGTACTCCTGTGGCCATTGGAATTGGTACGTGTAGAGAGCGACCATATGGACGACCACCACGCCCATAAGACACCTCATTACAATGGCAAAACCTTTGGCTAACTCCTTACAACACGCCCACCACGTGGATGCAGACAAAAACACCAAAAAATATAACCCTCCAGGCACAGAAGGTCGTAGCACTGCAGCCACACACAGCGCCACCAAAACGGCATATTTGCCCACGGCCACAAAAAGATTAAACTGTTTCTTGTTGGCTTTTGCTTTCTGAGGAAGATTCTCCTCGTTTTCGACCACTTCAACGGTTCTTTTTTCAAGGAGTTTCTTACAAATGATGTACGTCCCGATGGAGATGACCACCATGACGATTTCAGGAGAAATCCATGTGACCACAACGATGGGCTTCATAGAATCGAGCCGGACAAGACCTACATGTCGTAGGATTTGCTCTAAGAGTTCGCACTTTTCGAGGATATGGCCGTATGGAGGCATAGCGAGAAGGACAATCTGGAAAGCCAATTGGGCTATAAAAGTGAGGATCGATGTCGCAATGAGGAACTTGATGTAGATGCCTGTCGAACCGGCCATGGAACTGGCCGTAGGGATGGGGACGCATGGTAGAAAAAGGAGAAAAAGGAAGTAAACGGCGGAAAGTGCAGACGGCCGGAAAATTATACCTAGAATAAAGAAAAAAAAAAACATGTTTTAGTTTTTCTAGATTTTCCTGATAATGTTTAAGAATCTTGGCAAAAAATACAAATTATGTCCTATGTTGCCCTTGTTTCTTTTATGGAAATTTTGTTTACCGATTCTCCAGAAGAAAACCAGAAAGGTTTTGGAGGGTTTTGCAAAGTTTCATTGAGAATTTTAAGATTTTGTAAGAATTTTTTGAAATTAAAAATGAAAGCTTCCTTTGATCTGGGGTGAGGTTCCCCCCGGAGTTCGTCGCTCGTTCCGGTTGGGGGAAAACCGTGTCTATCGTCAAGGTCAATCGATGTGACCCGTCCCATTCATAGATGGAATCGCCTAGTGACATAGTAAGAGCTGCCAATAACCTTTTATCTCGAGGGTGTGGACAGTTTATTTAGAGGGTCCACCCTGTCCAATATTAATTTCAATAAAAACGCGATCAATTCAAAATAAATCCTGGTGTCACGGTGCGAAAACACAGTTAATACTGCAACCGATGTTTTGACGTGACATTTCTCTACCACCACCATTATGAAAAAACGAATTATATGCACGGAACCCACCCTGAAGTAGCGGCAGTCCCGCTGAAATGCCACCCCAAAACTCGGTCACATAACCAGACAAGCACGTGGACTCGAATCATCTGCCAAAATTTCAACGTATTGTTGTTTAGCAGAGCGTTTCGCTAAAATTATCATAAACGAAACTATGTTTATGTTCCTGGATGTTTACGACCGGACTTAATGCACTGGTTCTATCGAAACAAAATGCAATAAACACCTATTATAACACAATAGATGCAGAAATTGGCGAAAAATAAGGGAGCAAACATCGTAATTTTTATGACATGATTTTCTCATCGTGATGCGTGTTACGGGGAAATAATTTACAACACTGTTTGTTCATTAAACATTTAAATAATTTCAACTTGTGCCAGAAAATTTAAATTTAAACAGGTGGCCCTACATTTTTACATTCTTGATACGATTGCCTACTTCCAATGTTAACGACTCCAAATTGTTTTTCTTTTAGTCGAAATTTCGGTTACATTAATAAACCAAGATAAAAGAGACTGTTGGATCAATAAGTATAGGAGTGTCGTAAATCGTAATAAACGTCTGAACTATCATTTCAAGTTATAAACACTGGAAAATTCGTCAAAAGTAGAGTTCTGTCATTCTCATTACACGAAAAACCTATAATTATGCTCAATTCTGATTCACGGTGCAGTGATTGCAGCGTAATAAAACGATAGTTGGGTATTTTTAGTTATGACATAGGAGGGCATTGAAAATTTTCAGAATTCTGTTTTGGAAAACGCCTAAATTTTTGTGGCTAATGGTACCAAAAACGGGGAAAATAACCAAACAATTGACATAACATACTTTGATAAAATGGTAATGCATTTTATCAAGCGGTTTTTAAAAATGACCTCAATTATCCATGGGAGTTTTGTTGAAATTTTAGCTTGTTTCTGTCGCATCTTTATTTATCTAATAATAGATTCAAACGACTTTTGTTCTGCAGACAATGAGATAATTTTGTTGCAAAAAAAGTATTATTTCTTAATTTTAATTAATAGTTAACTCACGTTCATTAGATCTGGCTGACAAAATTCTCGTTTATAAGTTCCAGACAAAAATAGTGCAAAACTAACCGATGTCTGTCTACATTCCACATGTAGTGTTTTTAAAATTAGAAATAGACAAAATTTGACTCTTTTAAATAATTTGTAGAACACATTATTTCTCCTCATTATTTCATTTTTATTTTCACCAACGGTTGAAGTATTTATATACACGAGTTTTTTTCTCTATTACAGTCGAGATCAAAATTGCTTTCTGATAATAATTATAATTGGTGCGTTTTAATTTCGACTAACCGGATTTGGCGTAACGGTTGTTCATTTTTATCTCCCTTTTTTAAGTACCTCACATCCTCACAAATGCTGTTTTTGGTCAAATTTAGTTTCAAATTGAGTCATTATGTGGGAAACAAAATAAAACATAAGTAAAACAATAAAACTTTAGGGGGGATGTAGGAAAATTGGTTTTATTACTTATTCATTCTAAAGCAGCTAGAGATAAAAAGAATTTAACCTCATTTCAATATTTAATTTGTTTTTTCGATCCATCTAAATAGGTAGATATACAACCACTAAGGACTTATTGCTTTTGTAATAAATAATTGTTTCCATTATGTATGTATATCAAACTGATAAAAATTAAGTGTTTATAAATATTTTCCTGGATCTGCTATAAAAAACAATGTATTATCTATTCCATTTCTATTTTGTATTCTGCATTCCAAATACGATTCATGTTGCGTATCGCTGATAAATCGCGTTGAAACTTTGTTATAATCCAACACCCAATTTCACAACTTATTTACGGAACAAATGCATAAAAATACACAAAACTCCAATATTTTTAACCACGCTATATCGCTATCGCACCAAACGTTCCTCAATCCATTGATAAACCACTCAACCGGTTGTTTATATGCGGCTTTGCATAATCCAAGATTTACTCTTAAAACAACGTTCAAAAACCAGAATCGTGTAAAATTTCAAAACAGTGATGTAATCATCATAATGAACGATTTTTCGCCAACAATAAAACAGCCAAGGTTTTTCGATCCGTTCACCTTGCAAAAAATGACATGTGAAACGTGTTGGCCGATATTATGTCTCATCCATTAGCCATCATTTCCTGGAAAATGTCTGTTTTTTCTCCGTTAATCGACCCTAGGGTCGTATTAGCCCATTACGAATTGTAATGTCGGTTTTAAAGGGTGTGCCACGTGAAAAACTCCTAATAAATAATAATTAGATTGACCCGAAATCAAATTTGATTTGAATTAAGAGGTCGTTGGATCTGTAAACGTTCTCTTTTTAAAAATAGTTCCGCGCGATAAAAGAGCGAAAACATACACCCAAGTCCGCAAAAGTGGATTTTTCTCTCAGGTGCAAATGATTTCTTCTGAGTAGTGCATAAATTGAGTGATGACATCACTAATGTTATCACTTGTGCACTTATTAGGCTGAAGAATTCAAGCGCCAAGTCCGGCTCTAATTAAGTTATCTCAGAGAGCGACTAATTATACACGCAAAGGTCACAAATTACATTTTTTATCACAGTTAAATCATTTCCAAAAATACTTACATGCCCCCAGAACGATCGGCAACACTATCCGAAAGATGAACAAGCACAATAAAAAGTTTGCCATCTTCAACTAAATCTGGAAAAAATGATTCTGGTCAAAACCTGGACTTTTAATTAACTTAATAAATTAACCTAAATATGATTTGCATGTCCTTTTTTTCAAATCAGATAGTCCACATTCGTGTAATTAATTAACTTGAAGCGCGAATACGCACGCGAGTGTCAAAATGACATGGGTCGCGTTTTTTTGACAAAAGAAAACAAATGACCACAACGTGTGTGGGACCGGCTTACCTTATTTGGTGGAATTCCGGTGTCAAAAAATATAAGCATGTCGAAAACACAACACAACGGCCTTCTGACACGATTTCACATTGTTTTTAATTTTTTATTTTGAGACGTGACGGAATTTTGGGGTACGTCAAAACTCAAAACACCWCTRAATGCGAACAACCGACTGACAAAAAACAACAAATGAAGGTAGAAAAAGATAATTGTGATAAGAAAGAAAAAGATAGGACATGGGAAGCGCGCAGACGTGTCTGTTTTGGTGGTTGTCTAAAATTCGGGTGAAATATAGGTAAAATTGATGTGAAAATATTTTTATTAAACAAATCGTTACAAAAGTTATGTACAAGACGACAAAATCAGATCTACACAATTAGTACGTTATTATTATCAAGGAACAAATCTAAGGGTCAACAAACGCAATCATGATATATCTTATCCCTTTTGTGACCTTCAACCCTTCATGGTAGTGAGTGAGTCTCCCCGGGTGTATTAACAACCATCCGGGCTTGGTATCAACAACGCTACAATTGTATCTAATAAACCTACAACCTCCACCTTCATAATCAACCCCTCTTTTATTCAAGGCTATGTTGATGGTGTATGTCGAACTGTCATGGTGTGGCCGTAGCGAGGGTTGTTCATCTGGTTTATACCGGACGACGAAGTTCATTAAAGATCGTGGTGGGTCATGGAAATAGCCGAGGAAAACATGCTCTTGTAGAGGCCTCACATACTTGCGAAGAAACTCCAACCAATGCTTTTCCCAGCCGACTTGATTCATGTGGATATCTCGGGTAGGAACAGCTTCATAGCCCCCATCAAGTCGGGGGTCGCTGTTGCTACCATCTGACCATTTTCCGAAATTTTCCATCATGTTGATCAAACTGGTACAGAAGCGTTGCGACACGATGGGGAACCAGTAGACGTCTGGGCAAGGCTATTGCGATTTTTAGTAACACAAAACGGAAGATCGGATACTCACCTGTAGACTTTTCTTCTCGGGGTTAAAGTTTTCAGGATAGTCGGGATGGATGAACCTGGCTTCCCAATCCTGTTCATTGTCAAAAATCTGGTACATCTCCGGTTCGACTCGAGTGATATCGAAGGTTTCCGGATTGACCAAGTGCCCGAAATCGACTCGGTTTGAGACGTACATGAACACATCCAAGTCGCGCAAATTTGCACAAAAGGCCATATCCGCGTCCCAATTATCCCGATCAAAGTTCAACTTCGACCTATCAAACTTCCTCAAAAGTGTCGCATTGATGGCATAGCAGTTACCTATGAATGGGACGTTCCATAACCCTCTGGAAGAAAACAAAGCGATTAAGTCGTGTCCCCTTTAGTAAATAATGATCCAATTATTGCGACGCGGTGGATGCGATTTTGGTCGTTATCAGTGCAGATTTTTACCGACTATAGAGATGCGAAAACTCATCGTAGTGGTCTGTGTTTGCTTATGTTTGGMGGCGTGTTGGGGAGCAAGGGGTGGCGGACGTGGAGGTAACACTAATCCAGTGCCGACTCGGGTACTAATTGAGAAAATTTAGGAAAACACGGGCGTGGGAGGGGCCGGATTTTCAATTCCAGGGTACCTCCCATCATCCAACACCGAAATCCGGCTTCGGCTAGTTACTACGAGAATAAGGACGTAAGAGTGGCAGTAGTGTTTGATAACCGAGTGGTATAATAGAGTTGTTCCAGGGTGCCAAAATCGTAAAAGCCAGTCATTTCGAACTGGAGTACATGCTAGGGCGGAAAATCACGTTTTTCTGCATGGCGCAGGGGTATCCCCGACCTGAGATCACATGGTTCAAGGATGGGATCGAGTTGTACGCCCACAAGTTCTTCCAGGTACATGAGTGGCCCCTTGGGAACGATACGGTGAAAAGCAAAATGGAGATCGATCCGACGACGCAAAAAGACGCGGGGTACTACGAATGTCAGGCTAATAATAAGTACGCCATTGATACGAGAGGGTTTCGTACCGACTATGTCATGGTCACTTATTGAACTGTATGTCTAAATAAAGGTATTAGAATGAAGTGGTCTTTGTGGTAGATTTCCTCCCATTCCATGTGCTAAATTTATTAATTTGGTGCAATACACCAATTGAGATGAATTACGAGCAATCTGTGCACAAAGAGGGGACATAATAAACATTTTCCCCCGGAGTTCGCAGAATTGTTACTAATGGGCACTGCTATGAAATCGGTGTTATTTTGTGTTGTGCTGGTCCTAATTTTGTGGGGGCAAGTGGAGGGCCGAAGAGGCCGAACGAGGGCGAGGGCCAAATCAAAGGTAAATTAAAAAAGTCGCGACAAACAAAAATCCTCTCGTTGCAGTTCCAAATCGGTTTACCTATCACAGGCAAATACCGCGACCCAGAATCTGACCAATATTACAACAACAATAATGTAAGTACCACCAAAGACGACCAACCCCTAAAGAAATCTGTCTAGGGAGCTAAAATCACGCTAGCGTCTCATTTCGACTATGAATATACTCTGGGCCACAAAATCGCATTCGTGTGTGTGGCTAGAGGCAAACCTCGGCCACACATCACGTGGTACAAAGATGGGAGCGAAATTTTCACCCATCTGTACCTCAACGTAAGTCCAATTATTTGTGCGGCCAAACCAAGCTAGACCATTTATTATAGATCCACGAATGGAACATTGGGGAAGACAAAATCAAAAGCAAGCTTGAGATAGATCCAGCGACTCAAATGGACGCCGGTGTGTACGAATGTACCGCCGACAATATGTACTCCATCGATCGTCGGTCGTTTAAAACTGATTTCAGTATTGTATTTGATTAGTGAGAAATAAAATTACCTCTTTTCGTTGTGGACTATATCCATGTAGTCGTTTGATCGGGCATAGAAACCTTCTTTGGTCAAAGCCCCCCAAAAGTTACTCCAGGCTTTACCTGGACGTGGCAAAAGAGGGGCTACTACAGTTCGGTTTTGCTCGATTAAAAGACGAAGAGTGTGGGGGTTGTCAAGATGGGCGACCGAATCAACGGAAAAGTAGACGTCGCAATTTTTGGCCAAACACTGGTCCCTTAAAGAAAAACATTAATTGTATTTTTTTTAAACCAAAATCACTTACAAAGATAAGTCACGTGCAGCCCATTCGGTAGTACCATCATCCGGCTTGATTTCTTTGACTGAGCGGTACTCAGAACCGTATTTTTCAATAAAGTCAGCTATGTGTTTTGAGTGATATTTCATCTGAAATTCTTTATCGTAAAATTATATTTTTTATAGTAAAATTATTACCGCATTGTGGATAAAGAGATCGATGCGTTTTTTGGGGTACTCCAGCGAGTAAACCTTATTCAATTGTTCCTCCAGGAAGGGAGTATTAAATTCAACAAAAATTGCAAGGAAGACAAGAGGCATTTCGTTTGCCCTTTTATTTTTTAGGTCAAACTGACCCTCTTTACACCGAACACACCCTTCGACCGAATTCCACGAATTCGCCAAATAATTCCCTAAATAATTTAGGGATAATTTCGAAGGACCATTTCCGTGTAAAATCAAAGGTTCAGTGTGATACAAAACATTTTTGATTTTATATTCCTCGGGACCTTCCTTCCCTTTAACCTCAAACAACTCAACTTCACCTAAAATAAAACACCCTCTCTACCACTGTACCAGCAAATAGTGCTTCAACACTTACTAACAGCCCCATTCATGTTTTGGAAAATCTCACTTTTGTGATCCAGTTTGAACCCAACTTTTTTTCTTAAATCTTCATTGAGGAACGCTTTGGTGAAAAACAATTGATCATCGTCCGTGTCTTCAATCACGTCAAATGTGAGCACTTGCCACAAGTCAGGGGCGTATCCCATGTACAGTCCCGAATTTAGAAATCGTTTTCCTTCAGTGACTTGGGGGTACTTTGGGGCCAGTTCGACATCAGGCCAGCAGGAACTTTCAGCCCCGAATAAAACCCTAGCTTTCGTTTGCTTAAATTTGTTGAAAATGGCATCCAGGGTATCGGTGAAAATGACATCGTAGCCGTCTGTGAAAAGGATGATTTTTGTAGGATCGGTTTTATGTGATTCGATGGCAGTTTTGAGGAGGTTGATTTTCCAGCCGCCTCCGGGACGGTTTTTAATGTCGGCACCCCCTTTCCATTCCTGACCCAAACCCAGGACTGTGGGGGTGATGTGATAGTTATGAGCGGAGGAGAGATAGCGCTGGAAGCCGTCGGTGGGCTCGCTGGCGACGGTGAAGACTAGAATGTCTGAAAAAAGATTTTTAAATAAAATACATACATACAATAAAAATTACATGATGGACTTTTTAAAACATTCAAAATCAAATTTCAATGGCTGATTTGTATTAATAGGCGGGGTAATAATGATGATTATTATCAATAAACACCTTTATTCTTTAATCTAGCCACATCTACCGAAGGTATGAATAACTTGTATAAGAGAACATTTGGAAAGCAGCTGGCTTTACCAGTTCAGCTTTTTTTTTACATTTACGGACTAATCCGCCTTTTTTAAAAAGTCCTCAATCCCCTCAATGTGTTTTTTTAAGCTTGCTTCGTTTGGCTTAAGAATTTACTCAACCGATAAATAAAATCTAAATCCAAATTTTTGTCTTTATTTATTTAGAAAATTATTTATTATTGCCATTAAACAAATGTAAAATTTTGAAATATCACCAATTTATTTAGAAAATTGTTATTTATGTATCAAGGGAATAAAGAACTATTTTGCCTAGAAAACTTTCCTCCTAATAGACTAAATTAATAATAACATGAGAAAATGATAGATTTATTAGATAATATGTCAAAATATTCAGTTCATTCAATTGCAATTTTAATAAGAGTAAAAATCGGTATCAAAAAGTTTGTTTGTCAAAAAACATTCAAAAGATTTAATTCCAGTTTATTTAACAGTAAAAATAAGTGTTTCATTTATTCTATTCCCCGAGGGAATAAAGTATCAGAATATTACTCCGAAACGCAGGAATAAAGCTTCACTTTATTCCCTATTGGGAGGAAAATCGTTTATCCACAGGAAATATCGTTATTACGGTAAAAAATGCATTTCCTATCCTATTGCAGAAACATCTGTGTATGTACCTACTTATACCTATTTACAAATAATAAAATTTCAGTTATTAATGTGGATGTCACAAGAGAAAGTTTTATATATATTTTTTTTTTGGTATTTCCGAGAAACTTAAAATCCAAAAAATTCCAACTAAAAGCTTTACACTATGAAGTAAGGACCAAATTAAAAATAAAATGAATTTTAAATAAATTATAACACTCTTTGCCGTCATAACTAAACATGCGACAGACAAACAATTTAATTATTATGACATGTTGTCCGCATCTGTTCTTTTAATTATAAAATCAGCCGACTAGATTTGTTAAATTTTATATAAATTGTATTTCAAGTTGATCTCTTAGAAACAAAACTCGGGTTTATTATCAAAGCTTTGTGAATTTTTATCAACTTCTCGCAATTGTATATCTCATTTCCGCGTTTATTTCAGAAGTTATTCCGGAAATAGGTCGATGACATAATATAAACAAATAGAAACAAGGCGTACGTGACTTTAGCATTTTTACTTAAGAATCGGCCAAAATTGCCTCAAATGCGTTAATTATACTTCAGTTCGTGTGAAAAATCACTGTTTTAATTTAAATAAGTAGTGCTTTTCAAAAATTAAAAAAAAATCCTTACCGTCATTTCTTTCGCTAATGCCACTCGAAATTAACAAAAAAAATATGGCGCAAATACTGTAATTAATCATAATTACGTCCATTCAAATTATTTTAATTAAAAAATATATAAATATTGCCGGTATTTTATTTACAACGAGATGAAACACAACCCACCACCATGACGTTTTTATGGCACTGAAAATCAAGTTGGCGATATCAAGTGCTACCAACGTTTTAGTCACAAGATTCAAATAAAACGCGCGGAAATAAATTTGATTTTGCTTACCTGCATCTTTGATAGGGGAGTTCAAGGAATGCAGAAACGCACTTTCCGACCTTTCTCCACATGATTCCGGGTCATTGGTACATTGCTCGTTGGTATTTGCTTAAAACCAAGGGTTAAAAATTGGTTAAAAAGTTGTGGGACCTACCTGTCGTTAAAATTGTTACTGTCAACAAAATGAGATAAGTAAGCATCTTGTTGGTGTCTTGTTCAAATAAAGAATGACTCGGTTTGTAAGTAAAAGCGTCAAATTTGCAAAACCAGCGGACCAAGAAATTGTCCACAATAAGACCAATTTCCACACTCACTAAGAAAACTAACAGTGTCTGCAGTTTTTGTGGACAGTTAGACTTATGTAAGTCTTCAGCGAGTGATTTTTTAGGCAATTACGGTAATAATAACAATAACACATTAATTGTTATTTTTAAATATCTATCGTTTTTTCTCAAGAAATATAAAGCAAATCAAGCGTTTCTAACATTAGTGAAAGCATCGATTGTTTTGTTTTTATGCGATTGGAACCACGAAATTTCTCCCGACTCTCCCTTGTTTGCTCCAATAATCTAATAATAATTTTTCGAAAATCCGTGAACTTTCAATAAAATCAATAGCGAATTGGGTTAAAATAACACATGTAGGGTATCGGCGCGTATATAAAACCAATTTATTCAATTAAAACTAATTAGATTACATGCTTGGCTTCGAGCCATTTGTCAGTTGCGAAGATACACTCAGGTGCAAAGGGTGAGAGAGTGCGAAATGGCGCCAAAGAACGACCCGGAACTCATCGCCTTACGCAAAGAGCTCGATGAGCTTTACAACACTCTCAAGGTAAGTCTGTTGGAAATACGCCCAAATTTTAGCCCCAATTGTAGGAAGAGCAGAAAAAGCAAGCGGATACCACCCTCGAGGACGCTTGCAGTGGAGTCGCGAACGCGCCAAGAGTCAAACTCATCACCAGGAAGTTGATGAAAGGGCACTTGAATAAAGTCAACTCGGTGCATTATAGTGGAGATAACAGGCACTGCGTCACGGGCTCGCTTGATGGGAAATTGATCATTTGGGACACATATACGGGGAATAAGATGCAGATTATTCCCTTAAGGTCCGCTTGGGTGATGAGTGTCGCGTATGCACCATCGGGGAATTTTGTTGGTATGGACATGGTACCCCCACTTCATAGACAAACCCTTATTTTTGAATTGCTGTAAAAGCAAGACTTAGGTACCAAAACATTTTTTTTTGTTTGCACTATTCACACTCGGATTAAAATGGCCAATAATTTTTAGTTTTCGATTTCAATCCCATTTCAACATACAGGGTGTCCCAGCGAGTTGAAAAAGTCCAATGACCTTTAAATGTTGAAATTTAATAAAATTGTATAGGATATTGATAGATACTAATCTAGAGCATCACCTAAAATTATTTTCAACCGTACAGCATGTCCCAAAAATAAGTTACGATACTTATGTGTTTTTTTTAATAAAACACCGTATGTTTTCTTGAAATTTTTGGATGTAGTATTTTAAAACAATGTTTTTACGCTAAACTTTTATTAGTCGATTTCGCTTAGATTTGGAAATAAGACGGTGTTTTTGCACTTTTTAAAAATTTATCAGACAAAAACTAAGACAGCTAGGACAAATTTTTTCTTACTTCTGCAAAAGAAAAAAGTACAGAATTTAAAGCTGTAGAATTTTTTAGTGTTTTGCATTTGTAAAGATTAATAAATTAAGAAGTTTGTTAAAAGTTAAATAACTTAAAGAATTTAAATGGGACACCCTATTTTTTATTTTTGCATCTAATAATAGATTGATAAATTGTCTATCTAAAAAAATAAACTTTTAATGTCTAGAATTGATAAAAGAAAAGTTATTTAACATTTAATATTAATTGTAGCAACAATGCCTATCAATATCTGGGCATTGTTGATACTATGACAACCATAGTAATTCCACCACGGATCACTTATCCGTTGATTTATCCATAGATTGCAAAAGTCGTTATAAAAACTGAAATTCAAATTATTTTATTGTAAAAATAAAGAATAATGGATTCAGTTTAACACAAATGTGATTATTAAATGATATTTCTTCCATCTCTTGTGCAACTGTGCACTTTTTGACTACTGAAACAATAGTAATTATTATTTTTTAATGTTTACCGTTAAATATCTTTTAAGTTACTGATTATAAACACCTAAAAGTAAATAATTTTAGAAAAATAATTTAATCAACTTTTAAATGCAAAAGCAATAAACAGGGTGTTCCATTTAATTTTTTTAAGTTATTGAACTTTTAACAAACGCCTTCATTTTTCTTATCTATGCAAATGCAACACACTAACAAAATGTTACAACCTTATAGCTTGTACCTTCTTCTTTGCGATAGTAAAAAAAATCTAGATGTCTTAGTTTTGGTGTAATAAATTTTTAAAAAGTGCATGTTTACGTCAAAAAAACCGTCTTATTTTTAAAACTAAGCAAAATCACCAATAAAAGTTTAGCTTAAAAACATTGTCATAAAAATCTACATCCAAAAACGCTAAGAAACATATGGTGTTTCATTTAAGAAAACACAAGTTTGTATTATAACTTATTTTTGGGAGACGCTGTATATGTGAAAATAATTTTAAGCGATGAACTAGATTAGTATCTATCAATGTTTTATATATATTTTTTTAATTTTACCATTTAAAGGTCACTAATGGACTTTTCCAACTCGCTGGGACACCCTGTTTATCAGAGTTTAAAAAATATATCAAAAATAAATAATTATGGTTTTGTGTAGGTTCTCGTATTTCAATTTTGCGTTGGATTTAAAACAATCCTACAAAATTACAAATTAATTCCATGATGAATATTTAACTTGGTGTTTTTTTTTTTTTTTCGTAAATACTGATATACGTTGAAACTTTTCTATTGTCTGTAATTGTCACTTGTGTTTTTTCGATATAAAAGGGTAAAATCTTTTAACTCAATCTGTCAGTAGTGACTAGTTTAACATAAAGAATTTTTTACGATTTTTTTTTGTGATTTCACTTTTTTTTTCGAAAATGTCTAGCTTGTGGTGGCATGGACAACATGTGCACCATCTACGACCTGAACAACCGTGACTCTTCCGGCGTGGCCAAAATGGTTCGTGAACTGGCCGGCTACGACGGCTTCCTCAGCTCTTGCCGCTTCCTGGGCGACCGCAACATCATCACAGGCTCCGGCGACATGAAAATGTACCAACCCCACCTCCACTTGCCTCATTTTTCACCCTTTTGTTTATAGTTGCAAATGGGATTTGGAAACCGGTCGCAAAACCTCCGATTTCATCGCCCACAACGGCGATGTGGTCTCCATCAGTCTTTCCCCGGATGGCAACAGTTTCGTAACGGGAAGTGTCGACAAGACTTGCCGTTTGTGGGACATGAGAGAGGAGAAACCGAGACAAACCTTCTTCGGACACGAATCCGACGTCAATTCAGTTTGCGTAAGTCGTCGGTACCGACGAATCATTCAAGCATTGCGATTTGTTACAGTTTCATCCAAGCGGATACGCTTTCGCTACCGGATCTGAAGACAAATCTGCGAGAATGTTCGATATAAGAAGTGATCAACAGTTGGCGCATTATAAACCACCGACGGCCAATAGTGGATTCACTTCTTGTGGATTGTCGGTCAGCGGGAGGATTTTGTTTTGTGGGTCAGATGATAATAATGTCCACATGTGGGACACACTCAAGAACCAGCATAATGGTACTTGTTATTCAAGAATGTAGAATTAATCCTGATCAAATCCCGTTTCAGGGACTTTATCGGGACATGAAAATAGGGTCACGTCGCTTTCGGTTGCCCCAAATGGAATTGCGGTGGTCACTTCCAGTTGGGATCAGCATGTGAGGGTTTGGGGTTGAAACGAAATGCCATCAATGTGATTCAATAAAAAACTCTTCTACCAAAAGCTTTTTATTTGTATAAAACCACTCAAATTGTAAAAAATACGACAAATAAAAATTTTGACTATAAATTTACTAAAAATCGCGAATAACCGTTATTTATTTTCTCCACAAGCCTTAATACTTTTCCATTCAAAAATCAATTTCATAAAACGACGATTTAAAATGCAACAGAAATACAGTAACAGATATTTTACCTACAGGCTTAAGATAAGATTTACACTAATACCACAGATTATACATTTAAATCTAGAATCTGTGCTAAAACTGTGAATAAATCTAGCCACAATTTGAATCAAGCGCGTCAATTGTCTGCGTGGTTTGTGAAATTTATAAAACATTATAAAAATATCGCTTTAGCACTTTTTATTTTTGAAATATGCACATACTTATTATTATTATATACTTATTCCGCCAAGCACCTCTGGAAGACTTTTCCAATACCTTTTTATTAACACTCGGGATGGGATAAGCGTCCTAAAAACAAAACATTTCTTTCTTCGCCGTGTGAAGCCACAAGAAGGAAAATTGCGGGTCGATCAACTCGGAAAATGACTGGTTTGGGAGCACCGGGCGCGCAACCCAAAACCATGGCAGCCCCTAGAAAGTATTATTTTACAAAGTGTGATAATGGCATAACGAATAAGTTACTTGTGGCCGCCGCCGCCACTGTTCCAGTTTCGTTGACTTCAACAAACGCCTTTTGGATCACTTCACTCACAAAAATATTGTCTTGGAGGCTACTTGTGTCAAAAATTCCCTTAAAATTGGCATGGTTTATGTCGAAAATGGGTTTTAAGCCCAACTAGAATGAGATTTCAGTATTGACAAAAACATTAAGTTTGTTGGCTTACTTCGATTAGGATTTTGTTCAGTTTCATGGTTTCTTCCATCTTAAATTTGGGTAGGAAAAGATGAAGTTCGGTACGTTTCAAGCCGTCGGTGAGTTTCTTCAAGTCTGTTTTGGGTAATTTTTCTTCAAGTTTTTTTATGCCGTTTTTGGGCAATATTACCATCATTTTGACTGTAGACCCCTTGTATGGCATTTCAATAATTTGAGCCTCGAGATCTTGGTCCTCCTTATAGTAGAAATGTTCCTTCTGGTGCATCATTTCCACCTCAATTACATTTTCGTCATCCAAATAAAACTTATCTTTTTTAGTCGATTGCTCTTTAAAAGTAAACAACCAATCCCCTTTGAAGTAAATAGCATTGATCAAAATCAGACTTAAATTTTTATTATTAAACAAAGCCTCATTCACAATATTCTTGATTTTGTCATGTGTTTTCTCCTCGACCCATTTATTAACAATCCTAGCCGCACTTTTCGGCTCCTCCAAGTCCAAAAGTTCAATCTCCGATCCAAAATTCTTCACAACACAATCCTCAAACTCTTTCAAAAATTTACTTTTCGCCTTGTTCCCGAAGATTTTATTCGCCGTTAGCAAAGTAACGTCCTTGAGCGACCCCAAATGCGCGATTACATCCCTATATCCTTCCGCTGTAGATTTAACATCCGGATTTTTCAAGGCGTGAGCTAAAGCCTGCGCCGTCTCTCCCTGCGCTCCCTGATACAACATCGAAAGAACGGCATGAAGACTGAGCGGGGAGAAAAAAATGTTACCTTTTTTACGTGACAGGATTTCATAGAGGTTTAGGCCGAAAGAAGCGTTCGCTTGTAGAATTTGCGACTCGGGGGTTGGTGTCATCGTGACGTTTACCACTATCGATTATAAACGCACTGTGACTAGTTTTGCGACCACAAAATGTGATGTTTTGTTTTTTTCGCGCACTCGCAATGGAAAATTAGACCATTATGTGTTTCAAGGATTAGTAATTACTTGGAGTAACATTGGGTAGCGAAGTACTTAAAAGGCGGGTCACGTAGCGCTACTTAACCTATCATATTGGATTTTCCTTGAACAGTATTCATCAGTACTAATAATAAGAAGAATAAACAAAAGGTTTACAACAATTGTCAACTTCGAATTTCGCGCGATATTTGTTGTTAACATATGGAATTTCTACTTAGCTGACCTATGGGCCTCCGCTACTAATTTCTAGAGGGCGCTCGAGTTGTAATTATCGCCCGCGTTCAGTCCAGATCAATTTATTAGGAGCCGTGTGTTTCCCGTCGCGCGGTTCAAGATACCCTCCAATTATTACCAGCAATCGGTTTTGTGTCAATTATTCATTGTTGTGTTTCAGAGGGTGATAAAAAACGTTTCAATTTTTAACAAGACGATCGATTTAAGACAAATTCTAGGGGAATGTGGTGATATTTATTTATTTACAAGCATGATGGCGCGTCGTTAGATGTGGAGAAAGTGGACCACGGTCATTTTCACCACGTTCATCAACGAAACTTTCTTATTGTATACTACGATCTAACGTAGCGTCCGTTCCAACTCGGTACGCAACAATGTTAGATGGTCATTCGCCCGAAGTGAACGGTAATCCACAATAATTGCGCCCGAGGTGGATATGCAGATTAACAAACACATTTCGTACAAATCTCACCCTCTTATCGATCGGCCGGTCCTTAAGTTTATGGGTTGAGGGGTGTAGGTGGGATCGATGGGGAATTCCCGAAATGTGAACGTTTTCAAGAAGCTCGAAGTAAACAAATCATTATTGATATCGTGGAAGAATCCCGAGGGATTTGTGGGAGTTTTTCGAGTTTGTTTATTTATCGTAGGTGTATTCTAATCTGGCTGTACCGTAGAGGTACCGTTTTACGAGAACATGTAGAAATAAGGCGAGTCCGAGTCACGACTTGAACTCGACTCACAATAACCAAACGTACTCTATTAGAGAGATAAACGACCTTACAACACACTTGGCGCGGTCGTCTACTTAAAAAAATCTATTATCGAATTCTTGAATTAATTAGGGCCAGGGCTGGTTATGACTCTTTTTGATTCAGAATGCTTGGGCGTAGGTGGGCACTAATTGGTTTTATCGTTCCAAAAACATTGACAACTGTTTGGTTATTGTGTTAATAAAGGGACACCTTCACATGGGAAAACAGTAAAATTGTGTAAAATTTGTACATTCATCAATCGATTTTAATTTCTGTCAAATCCGCGCGAAAAATCGCTTCGTTACGTAGTCCCTGTGTGGCGCCAGTGTCTGCAGCTTCCGCATTATAAATTCCCAATCTTTCCATAAGGACGTGCGGTTGAAGGTTTTGAATTTTCCACCTTTTACTCGTAAGATCATCGAACCGATTCGGGGAAGCCACCCCCGCCGCCTACGCCGCCTCCGCGTCTATAAAATCCATAAAGCCACCCCGAAGCGTCCTTCACGTGGGCCGATCCCCATCCACGGGGGACCATGACAAATGACGTACCGCCGCGCGCATTTCCAATCGATCGGGGCGCAATCTTCGTTGGCGTCTTGTGACGTCACGTGTTATCTGATAAGATAGCAATGATGCAGTTTGGCGGCAAGGGTGCACGTGGCGACCATTCATGAGTTAAAGGCCCGAAGCACCCTTCRRAGCGGTATCGCCTCCTGGCGGCGATAAACGCACTCGGCGCACGTGAAGGTCTCGATGCGGTGCGTCACGGACTAAAATTAGGCAGGTTTTTGACGAGTTGAGAGCCGGCCAAGTCCTTGATTGCGAACGTTACTTTATTTAGTTATGCGCTGGGACCTGGAGGTTTTGTAATTATCGGCGACGTGGCAACAGGGCGACTACTTTTCCTACAATCGAAGCTATTACGCTTGATCTCAAAGACGGGCTTTGTTTTGGGGCGATCGGAAAATCGCAGCTGTTTCCGGTTAATGACTGTCAACGTTAAAGTCTATTTTCGGCTGGGCGGCGGGACTATTTTTAAATTACGAGAGGTCTTTTACTCGGCGATTCACGAAGGAAAAATTTATACTATTCCTAGACTGGCCGAATATTTGGCGAGAGACTCACCGAAATAAATGGCCGAGTGCGTTATGGAAGAAGCCAAAATTCCGATATTTTGACTCGAAATAAATTTCACGCAAGAGTATACACACGAATTCGCTTCAATGTGTTCGTTACTACACCAATAATACTTTCACTACATGATAACAACTGATAAGAAGTGTTTTTAAAATGTTATTGCTACTAACATTTTTGTGTTTAATGCAATTTGACGCAATATACAACACATTCACTACAATTTAAAAATTATCACCGAGTACATAACTAAAGTTCTTTAATTTTCTGACAACGCTTAGAATTGCATTCCTTATACCTACCTAAACTGGAAACCTAAGTGAACTATACGTAGAAATTTATATTTAGAAATTGAAAAAAAAAACAACAATATGATTCAGCGTTTTGAGTTTAAAAACAATTCAATTTTCTATACATTTTGCCACTATTTATAAAAAAAATATTTGCGGCTACATTTTTAATATCTACTGATGACTACGTCTGAATATGCAATGTTCATTTTTGAAAGATAAAATTTATTTAGGACTATGTATTTAAAATCTTGGTTTGCTTTCTGCTTTTATTTTCTTGTTTTACATATTTGCTTCATTTGGTACTTCATTGTTCTGGTGTTCTGGATCTGGAAGAAAGTAGAAAAACTAGAAAGAATAATTGCAATACAAAATCACGACCCGCCACTATTAAAAAAACACAAAGTAAAAAGGAAAATAAAGGAATAAAATTAAAGCCTTAAAAAAACTCGTTTCAGAAAAAACAAAACATTGAATTGGCTACTCCAACTTAGGCAACGAGTTTAAAACAAAACAAGAAGTAGTTCCTAACTAATTTTATCCTTTTTTATATGTATTTAAGTTAGTACAATAAATAAAGATAATAAATAAATTATAAAAAAATGTTTCAATGAGAAATGATGGCCCAATAATCGAATTGATTTACGTATTTTTACTTTATTTTAATAAAATTTTAATTTTTTCTAAAGACTGTCAAACAAATCATCAGACCTGTAATTCTATATTTGATTAGAAAAAAAAAATTAAACTTTTTAAGGATGCCCTATTTAATCTATGTTTCCATTAAAAAAGTCAAGTTGGCCTTGTATTTCAAAAACTTATGAAACTTATGGAAATTAAGTTGTTAGTTTTTTTCAGTTTATGTCAATTTTTTATTTATTTGTTTAAACAAGATTTGATACAGTAAAACAATTTGTGTATTTTTTTTAAGTTTGCAATCATTTATTTGTTTCTGAATTTTACGAATTATTACAATAATACATCATCCGCACGTATCAGACCAATCAACTTATTTCTATCTTCGAGTTATGGGATACTCTCCAACACAAAATAAGAAAATACCGCAAATCAAAAAACGTATAGAAACATTACATTCTTCGTATCCAAAGTATACAGACTTTCTTACTGAATTTATATTTTTACACAAAAATACGGGCGTATTAAGTAGAAAACAAATATGTGTTTTATTTTTATTTATTACTTCTATTAAATATAATAATGATTAAAGCATAGGAGACAATTTTTGAGGTAATCTAAATAATGGTTCGCCCAAATCCCAATCAATACCATCCACAAGAAAGAAAATAAATAATGTAAGTGGGCCATTTATCGATCGACCTGTTAATAAATTACCAACATTTCGAATAAGTTCATTTCTGCGGTCGCGTTACGGTTGACCTCGCGGCCATCGCATCTGTATGGAGACCATTAGGAGTCCCGTTAATTGCAACAAATCTATTATTGTTGAGGGTACTGTTAAACGGAAGCTTGAACGCTCCAGATTCCACAAAATGAAAGATTTCGGCAGACCAACTCTGATTTTGTCTCTTTACAACCATGTCACTGGGTCGTGTCTTCGCACCTTGATTCATACCATAGACAAGTGAGACAACTCGACCATTATCTCGGTCGTGGTTCAGTGCAAATGCGTCACTGATAAGCCCTCAAATCACAAAACCGAAAGTCTCACTCTGGGATATAAACAAGGACTAGTCAAAACAATAATATGTGCAAAGAAAAAAGCAAGGTTATCATGTGATATATGATACAATATTGGCATGGTTCGGTTCTGGATGTGCCTCAGAAGCCTTGCTTTTAACCTAACCGGCCTTAGAAATTTCCGGTGCAACCGGAACCAAGAAATCCCAACCAAAATATTGAATCGTTCGTTTTTTCCTAACGTGATCAAGCAAGCGTGGCACTTTGTGACCTTTCATTGTCATTCAGTCCCAGCAACCGTCACAAACGAAAAGTCCCCAAACGACAAACAAAGACACATTACCCCTCCCACACGATAATGTAAATGAGTCTCGAGCGTTTCCGGTCTTCGGAACCCTTTCCTCGGATTCGAAACCGTCATTTTTTCGCGTGATCAAGTAGGCCGTGAGAGAAAGTCACTGACGTCGAAAAATCCCTTTAATGGAACACAAAGGTGAAAACGTACGCAAACACTGCGCGTCATAGTTGGCGAGGTCAGACACGGACGTCAAGTAGGCAGTGGAATCCCGGAGGGTTTTCCAGAAATTCCCGTATTTGTACAGGCGTCGCGACGCCGACGCCGACTTTCTCCTCCATTCATGATCACGTGATGGTGGCCGTGGTTGAAGAAACAGTTACGGAACCTTGAATCGGTGAAAAATCTGATTTAATGGCCTTCCTTCAGTCCGTTACAACACGAAAAGTCAAGTAGGCTGAACCGAAATGRCAGATGTCACATTTCGGGTGAATCCCCGACGGATTAGTGACATGCGATATTACTCCATGCATGGAATCAAGCTTACGAACGTATTTATCAACTCGTTTACCTTGAATGAGCTCACTGCAAAGAAATGCAGACGGCGATCAGGGGCGGCGGACTCTTTTATCAACCGTGCCCCCGACGCACGAGTCGCTGTGGACGCTAACAATACTCAAAACAAGTAAATTGTTTATTTCAAGCGGTGAAAGCGGACTGGTCTGCCTTATAAGGTTGCAGCTGTCAGTTTTATTTATATCTTGCTCACAGCCTTCTACGATGCATTCGCTCGAAAATGTTGATAGAACGATTCTAAGGTGGATTGACCGAAATTCGCGCGACCCTGACATATTGCGTAGCAAAATAAAATTTAAAACAATCGAAACACCTACGCGAACTTGATAAACGGGGCACTAATTGTACCGTCATTGCTTTATCTCTGATAAAGGCATTAGTTTGTTTTGAATGGTCTTCAGGGTGCGGCAACACTGCCGATACAATTATTTCATTAGCGTTGATTCATTTGTTTCATAGAAAGCCATGAACTTGACGAAATATGATGATTCAAAATGTGTCGCTTAGAATTTTTAGATTTTAGAATTATCAATTTATTGATAGACTAAATGGCAAACAAGTGATAAAATGATCTGATAGATAACAAAATTAAATAATACAGTTTGAAAAGTGATAAGAAATGGAAAAATACAACACATGCAATTAAAATTAAAATCCCCGAGTAATAATTGAAACTGCTGTAAAAACCCARCTAAAATCAAGTAAACATTGTCKTATTCATTAAACAATGAGGAATCCCGAAGTGAATCACATGAGTGAGCAAAGCCCTCTAGAACAGTTTCAGAGGTCCTTGATCTGCAATTGTTTGTCAACTTTTTATTACGTGTTCTCGCGTTAGCAAACATTGGTTTGTGAGATATTTTATCAGTACACAGCAGGTCCCAAAATAGTCGCACATTCCATTAACCCCTCTGTAATTATTATCTGTTATGAGTAACCCACAGGTGCATTGTTGTATCGTTGCCAACTTAGCATGTATCATTGCCAACCGAATGTCATCGTGGTGACGTCATAACGGCCCATTTC